GCAGGTGATGGGCCAACGTTCGTGTTGAGATCCGCTGAGTTTCCTCGTACTCGTGGAGTTGAATTTGTGGCAGAAATTGCACTGAATTGCAGTCAAATGGTTGTGAATGAAACGAGATTTGTGGAAAATGACGCCACTTCCCGTGTTAGCCGCTGGTCGTATCATACAGCCCATATTCCATTGCAGGTGATGGGCCAACGTTCGTGTTGAGATCCGCTGAGTTTCCTCGTACTCGTGGAGTTGAATTTGTGGCAGAAATTGCACTGAATTGCAGTCAAATGGTTGTGAATGAAACGAGATTTGTGGAAAATGACGCCACTTCCCGTGTTAGCCGCTGGTCGTAGCATACAGCCCATATTCCATTGCAGGTGATGGGCCAACGTTCGTGTTGAGATCCGCTGAGTTTCCTCGTACTCGTGGAGTTGAATTTGTGGCAGAAATTGCACTGAATTGCAGTCAAATGGTTGTGAATGAAACGAGATTTGTGGAAAATGACGCCACTTCCCGTGTTAGCCGCTGGTCGTAGCATACAGCCCATATTCCATTGCAGGTGATGGGCCAACGTTCGTGTTGAGATCCGCTGAGTTTCCTCGTACTCGTGGAGTTGAATTTGTGGCAGAAATTGCACTGAATTGCAGTCAAATGGTTGTGAATGAAACGAGATTTGTGGAAAATGACGCCACTTCCCGTGTTAGCCGCTGGTCGTAGCATACAGCCCATATTCCATTGCAGGTGATGGGCGAACGTTCGTGTTGAGATCCGCTGAGCTTCCTCGTACTCGTGGAGTTGAATTTGCGGCAGAAATTGCACTGAATTGCAGTCAAATGGTTGTGAATGAAACGAGATTTGTGGAAAATGACGCCACTTCCCGTGTTAACCACTGGTCGTATCATACAGCCCATATTCCATTGCAGGTGATGGGCGAAAGTTCTTGTGGAGATCCGCTGAGCTTCCTCGGCGTACTCGTGGATTTATGAATTTGTGTCAGAAATTGCAGTCGAGTGGACTTCTGTGCGTGTGTTGTGAGTAAATCGCGACGGCTCCCTTCCTTCAGCATCGTCAAAACGCAACATAGAGCATTATTACGCACTCGTTCCATGATTCATGATAATGCCTGGATTCTTTTAAAAACAATCAATGTGTGTTCCCTATCTATCTACATTGTACATGGTTGCAGGTCGTTATTTATAAATCTTGATAATTTCAACACTTTTCTACTCGTATACTGAGTACGCGGTGACTTGAGCCGTTTAGGAAACGGAAGTCTTGGCGAGTGTACAAAAGGTAAACCTATCATTTGTACTTCATAACGGAATTGTGCACAAAAATGCACACACACGTTCGCGCGCACACACACAAGCACACACACAAACACTGTACAAACACACACAAAAGTACAAGCACATGTGCACATACACACGCCTCCCCCCCCCCCCCACACACACACACACACTCAACTCCCCACCCCTGTACTGAGTCTGACAGACATACAATCATGTTTATCCTTCCTTCGCCACCAGTTTCGGATAATGGTGTCAACAACGAGTTGTAAAATATTGGTATTTTAGGACTCCCTGCCCTGAAGACAAGCACAGCGCCGTGGATCGAGCAGATCCGGCCGCGCCGGCCTAGCGTGCTTCACTTTCTGGCCGAGGCAAACATCGTCCGCGTGCGCGCATCCCGTGTCCTCTCCCGGGCTTTTACGACTCCCTGGTGCCAGCCATCTGATCAGTCTGGCATCCATGTCCACCATCACCGTTGCTATCATCATGGGGTGGTCAGCCAGTTGCACACCTACCTCCAGTTGACCAAGACCATAACAGACAGCCTCGGAGTTGATGTTGAACATTCACACACGTCTGGATTTGTTTGAATGGGTTTTCCAAGCTGCCAATCTGTGCTTACAGTAGTTTGGCTCACCCCCAGGCAGCCAGTGATCTACTTCGGACTTCGTCGGATCATGACCTGTACCTGCATCCACGATCATCCGAAACTCGCAATCACCAATGGCGGCATCAGCCTCCTTCGCCGGTACGGTACCGGTTGCTCGGCGAAAATGTGTGACACTAGTAAAAGCGAGAAAAGCGAACACAACTACCATGACTGTATCATTGCCATGTCGACCCACCACCAAACGTCTCGTCTCCCATGCAAGACGTACTCCAACGCCGCAACGGACAGGGCGCATGCGTGACACTGATACAGACAGTCGTGTACGTAGCAGGCCTGCATGCAGGGAGTCGTGAAAGGGGTTTCAGGGTTTTCACGACTCCCAGGTGCCGTTCCGGTAGATCATTATTTTTCTCGGCGCATTTTCTCTGTCGGATGGTTACTAGTGATTTGTTTCAGTCGTGTAGTTGTGTGCGGTGTTCTCGCATTGTCCACTGTGGACAGAACAGTTCATGCCACTAGCCAGTGAAGCCGGCGTGGACTGAGGCCGTGGCGGAGTGGTTGGTTGTGACGTCGGGTTTTGCTGCCGGCGCAATGCCGGACAGTGTGCGGTACAACATCAAGTACTTGGTATCCAATCTAGATGTGTCACTGATCTTGGAGGACCTGCTGGAGAAGGATGTCCTCAGCGAAGAGGAATATGATACTGCCTCAGGCAAGGAGAATGAAATGTTGGAGCTGGCAAAATATGTGGTGAGGCTGATGCTGAAGAAAACGGAGGAACAGGTGGATAGGTTCCTGAATCTGATTCAACACAGCCAGCCCGATGTAGCGGAACATGTCGCCAGTACCATGGCGGAGCGCCGCGCCGCGAAGCCAATGTCGGCAGATCGTGAGTCAACACGTGGCTCGTCCTCCGGTAAGTTTTTACATAGAAAATGATCCATAATGGTTTACACACACATAATGGCACACATTCTGCAGTAATCGACCTTCTCTCGCGCGGAGCTAAGCAGGATGTGGGTCACGGTGACTTCATGTGCACCAACTAATGACATGGCGTCCTTTCATGCGGTTTACCGCACGGATTTATGAAGTCGGACATATTCCGATTTATTTGCATCAATCGCACAAAATTAGGTACATTTCTCTTGTAAACCCTGTTAGTTTGAGAATTTCGACAAACACCGAACAAATTTTAGCCGCGACGAGGATCGGGAGGAATCCATCATAATTATTTACATAGCTACTACCATCACGTCGACCGAGTGAAGATCGAAATGATAATGGAATGGAGAGAAGAAGACCTGAACTAGAGTGCTTGAAAGACTATGTTAATGTAGTGTCACATGAGAATTGCTTCGTTAGGAAGGCTCTCCTTTTGAATGGAGAAGCCCAACGTCGCTGATTTGCATCGCCGTTTTCAAGCGCTGATCTGCAGTAGGAATGTTTTTGTAAATTATTCGTAGTTGTGGACGTGGATGGATTCAGCGCTCTGTTCTCTCAGCAAGCCTACTCAGTCCAACACGAAGGACTTCCATGAGCGAAACAACGTGCTCCTCGAGCAAGTGCAGCTTGGGGTAATATGGCCAATGCCACGGGAGACCACCTCGTGCCTGCATAAGGCCAAGAATTGATGGCAAGAAATCTTTGATGAGCGCCTTTGACTTCAAGGACGCAATATTATATCTCCTCAGCAGTAACTGCAGCGCTCTTGCTGAAAATATCACTGCAAGCATGCACTAGGCATGATTTAGTGAAGAGCTACTTGTACTAGCGATTGGAGATTTGGTGTTGGCATATCTGCTCCATCATGGTAACTGGTGCGTTTGTCAAGGCAGTGCAGTTTCTGCTGCTGTTTCACAAGCCATATGCGCATATGCGCAGTGAGTAGGAATTTGTTGTATGATAGCTGAGGATCACCAGCCTTCATGGACAAACCTATATTGGGACTGGTTGCTGAACAGTGCACACCTAAATCTCTCAGCAAGCTCTCTTGCTCAGCTGTTGACGAACACTATATACCCGATGCTTTGGGCTTGCAGCCCCGTCTCCCGACCGTAGACCAATCGAAAGGCTGTCACGGTCCTGTGACCATCGGCGTACAGTTGACACTGATGGGGCATCGGATAAAGTGCTGGCGTCAGTAATTCTCTGGTATACCTGGAATCTACATCTACAGCTGGTTTCGACTTCCAGCCATCCTTCGTTAGTTATGCTTGTGACTATCATGCCAGCAAGTCGATCAGCAGCATCACCTCGCATCTTTGATGGTGAGACCTGCAAAACGTCACCGACCAGTGACGATGCTCAAATAGGGCACCCTACCAGAGCTGGCGCAGTGTATGGTGCAGTCTTTCATGAATCCATAAACTATGCTGTTTGGCTGCTGTAGCTCTGACGCTTGCGCGTGTGCCTTACGTTAAGGGCAGCGGGCCGTCTGCTCTAGCCATTTACCCGTGAATGCATGCACGGCTGAACGTCTACCAGCAAGCTGCAAACACTTCTCTCCCCATGCGGCTACCTGTGACATAGTGGACATTGTGCGTGTGTTATTGCATTCCTATCTGAACTGTTCTGGATGCAGAGATTTACCCTCTAAGCCCTAGAGAAATATGAATATATACAGTTCAGGGTATATTCTAGGACGAATTTCCAACCGGTTACGGTCCAATGAAGAGTCCGGCGGTCCCCCCGGAAAATTTTTCAAACTACAACCCAAATATGGCACTCGACAGCAATTTAACAGATTTCTTGGTGCTGGAGTGTAGCAAAGATATAAGCAGCTCCATTCACCCACAGAAAAGTACGGGCGGTTGGAACTGATTTGTAACTTTTCAACCGGTCGCCAACAATTCCAACCGGTCGAAAACCGGTTGGGGCGGTTCTAGAAAATTCCCTGATACTATACTACTACTACTATTACTAAACTTGTTATGCGGGTGTGACGTGCTGCTGCTCATCAGATTCGGTCCATGCGACGCTCGTGTTTTTAGTTTTGTTATTTTGTCTTCCTTTTTTGAATTCGTAAACCGAACAGACTAAACTATCCAGTGATCAGGTACTGGTGTGGTGGGGCGAGGTTTTGTTGGTGATGCTGCTGTCAGTGGTGGCGGCGTGCATGTGCTCGTGCTTGCGGGCGATGGCCTGCGTTTTCTCCCATGCCGCAAGTTTGTCTTGCGTTTGTGTTTTGCATTTGGACTTCCTGCCAGGCTTGGAAGACTTGCATTTCAAACAGTTTGTCCCACTGTGTGGCTCCCAGTCTTTGAACGGTGTACATCCACCTCTGGAGCTCCAGAGAATGTTGGGCCCCTGGCAGTAGCAGTGCATTCCATGGCCAATTTGCAAGTGTGGCAAAAAGGTTCAGGGTGTATTTGGTTTCATCCACATTGAGATGAAACACTGCCAAAATGGATTGAGTATGATCTGCCACACGATACTTCGTCCGTCCACTCCTTGACGCGAATTTCTCCCCTCCAATACGACAACACGACGACAGGAAGCTAACATGAGCCTCCATTTCTGAACAAAATAACGTCTCTAACATGGCCACGAAAAGCTACAGTGATGCAAGTCAAGCTTAGGAATACACGAAATCGAAAGGCTAGGATATCGAGGTATACTAGAAAATTGTCTGTGCTGACGAGGTTGGTGAGCCCTTGAAATCGAGCGACGATCCAAAAATAATTGCACCCACGTCGAGAAAGAAACCATGCGTAGCGCGTGGGTAACCCAAAAAAGATTGCTCGAGCGGCGGCACAGTCGAAGGCAAGGCCAGTCCAAGCTCTAAACTCTATCGAATGACCTGGCAAACACCCGTGGTTTCGGTTGACCTTGCCCGTTTGAGATGGAAGTCGAGCGAAATTGCAAACATACGACTAGGCCAGGTCGCGTAAAAAATGAAAAAGATTAAAATTTGGCCGCCATATTGAATGAACGTGCGTCGCATGCATGGGACAGCCGTGGCGTCATCACTGCGCTGGTCGCTATGGCAACATGGATCATACAATAGGGCTTGAAAGTGCTACGTCACAGCATAGCAACAATTTCAAAAATTTAAAAACTGGATCACGTTTGCTGTAAGCGGCGATCATTGTGCTTTGTTGTAATGTGCTCAAAAAAAAAAAAAAAAAAAAAACAGCCGAAAAAGTGGGGCGGCCTCAGCCGCCCAGCCGCCCCGGCTGTGGCGGCCTTGTGCCGCTATCTGGCGAGAAGACGGCCGCAGTTTGCTGCAAATACGGCTTGTTTACAGGTAAAAGGGACCCAGTGGATCTGGGATCTGGAAATGGATCTGACAAAACGATAACAGCCCATGTATGCATGTAATAATTGAATCATGTATGTGTGTGTGTGTGTGTGTGTGTGTGTGTCTGTGGGGGGGGGGGGGGTGTATGTGTGTGTGTGTGTGTGTGTGTGTGTGTGTGTGTGTGTCTGTGTGTGTGTGTGTGTGTGTGTGTGTGTATTTGAGTGTGTATGTGTTTACTGTGAACTGAAGTATATGTGTGGTTTTGGAACCGCCCGTTGCATATGTGTGTATGCATACACATGTGTGTGCACTGGAGTGAATGCCTGTGTGTGAGAGAGGTGGATGTGTTGTTGGATGAGTGTGATGATTGTATCTGTTTTCTTATGCTATTATACTGTCTCTACAGCACTGCCAGAGTGGGTGAACTTCCGCACCATCAGCAACATTGATCGAATGAAGAGGCTAAAACGCATCCGGGACATCGTGGCCGAATCCTCCAAACGTGTGCATGATGTTGGATCCTACCTTCTGGAGAAGGAATTCCCGGACAGTCCAAAAGCGGTGTGTTCTCTTTTTGCCTATTTCACTGTACTAATAAAATAGTATTTCTCAGACTTATCAATGAAGACGAACTCTCTGAGTCGATCATTTTAATCCATGACACCTTACAAAAAGTATTATTCATAAAATTGTTGAAGACCACAATGCTGTACTCGGAGTTTTGTCCATTGATAAGTCTGAATGTTTGTGGAAAAGGGGATTTGATCCATTGGAAACACACCAGCACTCTTACTGTAGTCTGACTTACTCCGATAAAATAAAAATAATTATTAATGAAAGTAAAAACAGAGGATCGGTCGGGGAAGTGAACTGCCTGAAAAGAGAGAAAAAATGCCAGACCCACCAGGACTCAAACCCGGGACCTTGCTTGTCATGAGCAATGCTCTAACCATCTGAGCTATGGGATCAGGTCAAACCTAGAAGGCGCTGAAAAGCTTTTCACTCCAAGGCAGCTCACATGTGCCACCCATACTACGGAGGATTAGCAAGACGAAATTCGCGTTCGCGTTCGCTCTCCAAAGAAAGTCGAACTCAGTGACGGAATTCGCGTTATGAGAAGGATTAGCAAACAGAATTCGCACATGCATGATGTTGACACGACGTAGGCAGTACAGCGTGGTAAATTTATGACTGCCCTGACACGAATCCACGATTCGTGTTCCGACTACTTTTCCGAACGAAAAATGCGAAAGTTCGCAATCCAGTTCGCGACCTGAAAAATGTTTGCGAACGCGAACGCGAATTTCGTCTTGCTAATCCTCCGTACTGATGGCACTTGGGTCTTTTTCCCTCACCCGGGGGACCAACCACGGTCAGTTTTTGGAACATACTACCAGAGGTGAAAAAATCACGGTTCGTGTGAGACTCGGCTGGAGGCGAGTTTTCCACATCCGCAGGAACGCCACCACCCACTAGGAACACAGCACAGCTGCAGTGGTGGGAGATGACTTATCTCCCTTAATTGTTTAAGACTGTTGGCAAACACTATCAGGCAGTTCACTTCCCCGACTGATCAATTGAATTTGAAGTCCTCCCCGTACTTTAAAAATTAATCACTTTCTTTCACCTCTGGTCACCTCTGGTCACCTCTGGTAGTACCTTCCAGAAACTGACCGTGGGCGGTTAGCAACCTCTGCGTCCAAACAACGGCGGACGTACTTTTTCCGTTGCAAACTCCAGACGTCACCTGCGCGATGTACTCCAGAATGCTTGGGTATGCCATTCATTAGATAAACCAGGATGATGCCTTGTGAGAAGAATTTTGCAGGAAAACTGGACAGAGATTTGTCACCGATATATTTTAATACTGCACGTTTACGTGCTGAGTGGCCTGGTAAGAACGCTAGGTTGTCGTCACAAAACACCCGCTTCTGGGTAATAGCAGGTATTTGTTGGATTGAGAAGCCCTCATTCCAGCTCCATCCACACATGATATACTCATATACATGATGTGTATGGTTTGCTAATGTCAATGTTATTTGAATCTGTTTTGTCTGGAATGTGCTGGGTAACATGAAGTGTTTGTGTTGTGAATTCGTTATACCCACAGGCGATCACTGATAGAGCCCATCCGGAGACGAGCCCATTTAGCTTGTTCGACGCAATGACAAAGCTGTGGATCGAGAAATACAACAAACCGAGCGGCAGAGACATGCATATGGCTGTTCAGAATGCGGTTAGGCCGGGATCGGCGGCGAACATCAAGGAATTCTGCCTCAACTCCGGTAAGTGGTTGTTAAATTTTCCCTTCACGTATAATGCAATACACCCTCTGGCTAGTATAAATTGGAGTTGGGAGAATCCTCAACAGTTCGAATGTTTTTTTTAATCAATGATCGAGTGTGCACAGAAACAGATCATCTCGGACATGTCCATAGCCAGCAATCGCATGTCATCATGTACATTCAAAATCAACATAATTTTGCGAATCGACCTTTTTTTCAGGATCACTTTTCAACGAGGACGAAGCAAAGTCGGCTGAACGAAGCCTAGGGGAAGAAAATCACCCTCCCCACTTCACCATCACGATACTGACATGGATACGAGATGAAAGAACTAAAAAATCCACAAGAAAACTGTACGGCCATCATCGCGCTGACTTTGGTCTGAGAATTTCTATCACAATCAAAAATGTACGAGGAGCACTCGAAAATACGCCACAGACGTACCTTTATCGCTCTCTACTCCTTTTTCAAGGCACAAAAGTCGACTCTCCACTTTCAAACCAGGAACTAAACCATGATACCAGTGGTCCTTTTCAGCTGCTCCACGTGCGCAGGAAATGTTCACCAAGGGGCGCAGAGCAGCATCCACTCCAGAAAAAGAGCTAAAATACGAGTGAGACTGCATGCCTGAGTACATGAGTACATGTATGAGTACATGCAGAAAATAGTCAATTTCAGCGTTTCTGCTCCAAACAGCAACTAGCTTCGACTAGAAACAAAGATTACACCGAAGGATCAAACAACAACCATTTTCTGCCGTTTTTTTGCAGATGGCTTCCTTGTGCTTGGCCCAGCACGCCAAAAATCACACCTCGGAGGAGTACAAAAATTACAACTCTCAGATGTCCTCGATTGCTGGCCATGCTTTCTGTGACTGCTCAGGCGTTCATTTTCCAAACTTCAATTACTTCGAAATCGCAAACATTGCTTCAGTCGGAGTCAGTTTTTCTCATTGCTATGCCGCAGCTATAGTGCAGCATTCCAGAGAATGCCACTTTCCAGACCAAATGTTCAACTGAGACTTAGTACAGTAGTTGTTGGCGAGCGAAGATTGCAAGGTACTTTGGCGGCAGTCATAAATTTGAACATTTCCATGGAAATACTGAGCCCAAGGCTACCAGCCATCATTCAATGACCTCCAAAAGATCTCACTAGGTCAAGATGGTCATCAACACCACTGTGGAAAATCCGCTATCAGTGGAACATGACTTTGTTATTAATTGTAGAGTTTTACAACAACCACTAGAGAGGTTTTGCTGAGCAAAAGTTCGCGTAAATTTTCGATTGACGTCGCGAGTAGCAACTTCTCACGAACGTTCGCAGCTGTGAACGCGAAAGTTGAAGGAAATACGAAACAATTTTCGCAGTAATTTTCGCTGATCACGGACCAGTGACTATTGGTGAACCACGCTCATGCAATGTTTGGTGCTTCATCTTTCACAATCCAGTAGATACACTCTTGGCTTGGTCCTCCAGTGCTAGCTTTCCCATATGGCAGCCCGTGTTGCTTAATCTCCGGAACCATGTCCGATCTCCTACCCTGGTCGTCTTTTCAGAGTCGGTTATATCAATGATCCCTGTTTTCTTGCTTTTCAGGTGTTGCTGCGCCGGATTACAGCACAGTCAAACCCGTTTGTCTGCCGGTCATGGACAACGTAGTCGAAGAGTTCTCGTCGCAGGGTGCTGCCACTTGCAAAAATAAATAATCGGATGAAGATGACTTCTCAAACAAGCGCGAGTACACGCGTACTTTCCTGGAACGAAAATCATGCAAAATACAAATTTCGCGCAAACGTTCTCAGAAATATTTGCAAGCCCAGACGCGGTAATCCATGCAACGTTTTGCTCAGCAAAGCGTCTCTACTAGTACGACATAAGCCCGGGGTTCTTGTTTGAAATCGGGGCGTTATTCTCAAACGTAAACGTATCCCTCTGTTATTCTTGCAACGTAAACGTATCCCTCTGTCATTGCTCAGTGCACAGAACACTACCAGTACTAAGAAATTTTGATTTTATGATCTTTCTATAGGTATTTTAGGGAAACATGTTGGTGATCTACCCCCCCCCCCCCCTCCCACGACCTGTGGTGCTGGCACGTGTCAACCATGTGGAACATTCGGGGCTGGGAAAACGGAAGTAAGTATTAGTTTGGAAGACCGCGTGGCATGAAGAAGTGCCTAGAACTGGACAGAAGCCGGCCAGCCACTGCTGTACCAGCACGATGGTCCGCGTCCGCACACAATAAACAATAAAACTCAATGCACGTGCGTTTGCAGCGCAAGGGAAAGCGAAGGGACCCGACATTCAGGTTGTTGTTCAGCCGGGACAAAACCCCGATGTCAACGCGGACGACTTGGCATTCTTCTACAGCCTGGAGACAGACGTGTCACTGATGGCGAAGGAAACCAGAAAGGAGCTCAGAAGTTCTGCAGGCTTTGGAAACATGCTGGCAGCAGAACCCCGCTGCCAAGATGAAAAGCATTAAATGTTTGCTTGTTTACAATGTTTTGCCATGGCGCCTTCCATCGCATTCTGGAGAGTGGCGGAGAGAAACACTGCTGACAGTGGCACCGTGCAAATCATCAAGCACACAGTTCAAGCAAAAAAGTACGATCAAATATTTTCTCGGCATCTTTTAAAGGTTACGGAGCAAGGGCTGTCAGGGTGTCAGCGCTGGAGACGGGAGTCAGCGAGGAAGCAGACTCAATGCAGGGAATGAGTTGTCATCGAATTCAGATGAAGAGAGAAGCTGGACGACTTCGAAACAAACTGTGTGACATCTATAAACTACTATCTCTCGTATGCGCATTGTTTTCCCCTCTGCGAAGTGTGTTGTAGCCATAGAATGCTTTTGACGGAACTGCAAAAACATGCAACAACATTAGGGTTAACAAAGGAAGTACATCATACATCCCTTTTGAAAGAGTTTCAAAACTTACAACAGGTTTATTCATACTTACTGCTTCCTTGCTAGGTATCACCATGACAACAGTTGGCAAACAGAAAACACAGCCATTGCAGCACACAGTGGGGGGTGGTCAGGCAGACCAACAACGGACCTCCAACAGATGTGAACCAATCTTCAAACAACCAACATCAGCTGAAACAACAGCCAATGTAACTAGAGCGGGTACAACATCCAATACAACATTGACTACAACACAGGATTCAACAAGATCAGCAACTTCAAGCCAGTCATCTCTACCGGACAAAGACCGACACTTCACTGGCAGGAATGACATTGTCACAGAGATCAGTCACAACATTCTCACAACAAAGTCCAAGTCATCATCTACACGTGTGCAGAGTCTTGTGGCACCAGCTGGTTTTGGCAAGACGTCCGTAGCCATTGCTGTGGGACATGTATGTTGCAATGCTGGTTGTCGTGTGGAGTTCTTTGACTTACGCGGTGTAGCTGGTGTTGACGCTGTCCAGGCAATGATTCAAAACCGACTCGAAACAAACCCAGCTTCATCTGAAACTACTGGCAAGACAACCAAATCAACTGATGACATGGATGATGATGGTAGCCAGCACCACATGTTATGTATTCTGGACAATGCCGAAGATGCTATCCATGCTGGTGCTGATAAAGATTTCCAGCTGCAAGATGTTGTGGAGCAACTTCTGCGACGGCAACACAACGCCCATGTCCTACTGACAAGTCGTGTTTACTTTGACCTACACGCTGCCCAGTTTAAACTACAACAACACCGTCTTGATGGTCTGACAAAGGTTTGTGCTGTTGGCCTTCTCCATGGTCTATGTGTTGAAGGTAGTGTGAGCATTGAAGATGCACAGAGGTTAGTGGACCGTTGTGGAAATGTTCCACTTGCTGTACGCATCACAGCTGGTCTTCTACAAGGTGGTCGGTTAACTCCAACCATGTTGTTATCGTTATTCCAAGATCTTGGTCTCGATGTGTTTAATGATGATCGTCTGAAACCGAATGATCGAATCCTGAAGCTGTTGACAATAGCATACAACACATTACAACATGATGACAAGGCATCATTCCATGCTCTCTCTCAACTGCGCTCCTCGTTCTCATCTGATTGCGCTCGTGTGATAGTAGGTTTGGCTGACACTAAGGCCAGTATGGTTCATCTTGTACGTTTTGATCCGTTGATCAAGATTTGTTTCCTGGATTACAATCCGTATCTGGACCGCTACTCACTTCAACCATTCATTGCCGAGTTTGGTCGTTACCAATGCCCTGAAGACAAGCGACGTGTGTACCAACGGCGAATGTGCAAGCATTTCCTTGGCTTTGTGAAGGAAGTTGATGACTGTAGAGGTTGTAGTGCAGACAAAGCAGTGTTTTGGAGTTACCAACTGCTTCAGGAAAGCGTGAACATACAGATGGCGTTGTCTGTTGTTGATGTTTTGCCTGGCGATGACTTGCTTCCTTTCTCTGGATTAACAAAGTCATCGAGTATCCTACTTGCCTTGTTTGGGAGAAAAGTGTTTGTTGGAGAGTTTGGGGACAGGATACAAAGATTGGACACAACACCGCTATCTGTACAAGCTGACAGCATTTGCACCTCGGTCCTGTGTTGTTTTTTCCGTCGAAGCATTGCAGATTCTGATGTCACTTTCGAGAGTTTGGATTCCAGAACCCAAATGCTCCTAGAGAAATCTGAACAAGAACTGACTGGAGTGGAGTCACAGTTGCAGCTACCTTTGATGCAACTTTCTCTGGAGTCATGCAGGGTAATCATGTCTCTGGACATCGACTGCAGGGAAGGACAGGTTGAACTGAGCCAGGAAACACTATCCCGTCTTCAGGTGGTGTACCAGCGTGTTACAACAACACTGGGAATTGGTCTTGCAACAGGTGTCACTGAATGTGCCCTGAAACTCATTCAACTGTATTGTTCCACTCTGCTAAACAAGGATATACCCAATGTACAGGTGGTAGAAGACCTTGCTGAGAGAGTGATGTCATCATACTTCCTATCACAGGATGGTGCAGTCAGGTCATGTGCCGTAATGTACGGTTTTCTGCAACAGTGCATTGTTGTGATCCTGGGCAAGGTCATGTCAAGTTCCTGTAGCAGTGAGTGGATTATTTCACCATCATTGCTTACAACACTGGGTATAGCACTGTGCAAGTGGAAACATGTACCAACTGCTATCAGCCGCACGATTAATGCCAATGACAATACCACACTGGCAGCTTTTCGGTTACAACAGTACCTGTACTCCATGGATAATGACACCGTATCCACACTACTGTACATGTACTTGGATGGTATGTACACCAACCTGTACATACCCTTGGTAGTAAATGGAAGGGCACACACAACTCCAAAGGGTCTCACTCTACCAGCACAGCATCCCTACAACATTGTGATGGACTATGTCAGGAGATGGTGTCATGGCTCAAATCCAGCAGATCACACAACAGCACTGATTAACAACTGTAGTCAGAACAAGGTACCTAATCTGGAAGTGATGCAGTATTGTATTCTGATGGCCAGAGCAATGCTCCTGTTACAGGTAAGCTGGTAGTGCAATGTTCACAGTTCAGGGTACCATAACTGTTTTTCATCCGCACTCCACTCTGAATGGAACATTGTATTGCAAACCAGTGTACTCAGTAATTATCTACTGTATAGGGTCTGTCTCTCTAAGGTTGATTTCTTTAAAAACACAGAGGGAAATGTGATAATTTTGAACATTGTTAACTGGTGAAGTGGAATTTGTTCCATTCTGCTATATCAGCCTGATTTGTTATTATTGTGCATGATGTTCTCTGTTTCGAGTGTACAAGCCTTAGTTCAGTGACTTTCTTTTCTACACTTTTCTTTGTGGTGTGCTTTGCTCTAGAATACGATCTTGGCGACTGATGTTAGTTCCACACTCTTCCCAGTGTTGAAGTCACTTGTTAAGGATCTCAGTGCTTGCCTGCCAAGCAAGTGTGCAACTGGTCTCTCGGTGTCTGGAGTTGTATACTTACCAGTACAAGCTTGGGACATTCCTCCACCGTACATCTCTCTCTTTGCTGCCCTACATCATCAATCCAAGAGAAGCCAAGTGAGCATTGATCACCACATTGCACTACTGGAATGGTGTCCACGTGTAGCAGCATGTTTTGTCTGCTATGACCTGGACAACATCACAGCATGTCCTCGTTGTGGCATGGCTTACCTGTGTGGCAAACATCGTCAAACTGATGAACACCGAAGTGAACACAACCAACACTGTGCTATGCTGGCAGCACTCAGACATCGCATACTACAGTAAGTTATCATCAACTGACATGACAGATTGTGAGTGCTGTGTGATGAACTGGTTTGTTAGTGCCTTGGTATCGTGAGAAAATTACGGCTCAGTCTACGTGTAAACATTTCTGGGTGGGGGGGGGGGGGGCAGGTGTGTGTGTGGGGGGGGGGGGGGGGCAGGTGTGTGTGGGGGGGGGGGGGCAGTGCCGGTGTGTGTGGGGGGGGGGGGGGCGAGGGGGCGGGGATAGAGGTGTGTGTGGGGGGGGGGGGTATGTGTGTGTGGGGGGGGGGTGCTGATGTGTGTTGTTGTTGTTGTTGTTGTTTCTTTATTTTACTTCACCATATGAACAGGCAAGACTGCCTTCTCACCGGGGCTGTTGGCCCACGGCTCTCACAATATGATGAAAATGTTTAAAATGTGTATGAAGAAGAAAGGAATGGAAAAGAAGATGAAATGAAAGGAAAGAAAACAGTAGGTATTAATTTTATGAAGGGGGGGGGTATGAAATGGGTATTATCATAGTTGATGAGAGAAGTATGATATACAATATTCTTGTTCTATAGACTATTTAGTACGGGCATTTCATGAGAGTCATGCATGGGCAAGGCAGGATTTGGACTAGGATAGAGGACAAGAACATAATTGATGAGCATCTGTTCAGGCAGAATCTGTGAAGAAGACATAGTAGGCACAACATCGGAGAGCTAGTTGACGAGGGAGATGAGGTCATAGCCAGACAGCAATGCTTGAAACGTGTGGCGTACGTCGCAAGCGCGAATATCAGCAGGGAGAGAGTTCCATGTGGTACTGCCAACAAAGGCGATAGAGCTACGGCCTGAGGGACCAGGTAGGAACGGCACTCTGAGCAGCTGGCTGACCTGACCACGCGTGACACAACTTCTGTCCACATCCGTGGCAATGAGGGAGTAGTAGGATTGGAACAGTGAGCTGGCTCTGCCATGAAGGCAGCGGAAGACGAAGAGAAGCAGACGTTGCACGTACAGCTGGTGGAGCTGAGGCATTGATAGTCTGGCAAATAGGCGAGCAGTGGGGGTCCTTCTGGGGAGTTGGAAGATGGCTCGTATGCCAGACTTAGCAATGCGTAGCAGTCGATGTAGCAGCAGTTTGGATAGAGCAGGAAAGAAACAGTTTGAGGCATAGCAGAGAACAGACTGGATCATACTCATGTACCAGGCCCGGCGGGCATTGAGTGAAAGGCACCGTCCATGGCGCCAGAGCTGCCCGATTGTAGTAGCAGTCTTGCTGGCAATAAAGTCCACTTGGGGCTTCCAGGACAGTTGGTCATCAAGCATGACACCGAGATACTTCGTGACTGGAGTAACATCAAGCACTGTGGTACCACACTTCACTTCAGATGGTCCATCCAGACACCCACGGGGTCTCACAAACATGTGTGTTGGGGATGGTGGGGGGGAGGGTCGAGTTGGAGGGGAGGTGTGGGAACCAAACTTTGATCATCCGTAACATCATCACGCTGTATTTTCGAGCTGCCTCTTTGTATTTCCCATTCTTGATCTTGTGCTACACTGTAATATTGGCTGCTCCTGACAATGACTCTGGCTCCTTTCGGAGTGGTGTGGCCCTTGTGGCAACCAAGCTACAGTAGTAGTAGTAGTAGTGTGTGTGTGTGTGTGTGTGTGTGTGTGTGTGTGTGTGTGTGTGTGTGTGTGTGTGCATGTGTGTGTGTGGGTGGGTGTGTGTGTGTTGGGTGTGTGTGTGCATGTGCATGGTGTCTGTACTTGTATGGTAGTTCATCAGTATTACGAGTGAACTATCGAGAGTCCATCGCAGGACCAGCAGGGAGGGGGGAGGGGGGGGGGGGGGATGCGGGTATGTGTGTGGGGGGGGGGGGGGGGGGCGGCCTGAAGTGTGTATGGGTGGGGGGAATTGGAGAGGAGGTATGTGAAGCAAACTTTTGATCATCCGTAATATCATCACGCCATATTTTCGCACTACCTCTATGTATTGCCCATTCGTATTACACGGTAACATCGGCTCAGTGAGACAGACTGAAGACTGTGTGTGTGTGTGTTTGTTTGTGAGTGTATGTGTGGATGTGTGTGCGTTTGTGTGTTTGTATACGTGTGTGTGTGTGTGTGTGTGTGTGTGTGTGTGTGTGTGTGTGTGTGTGTATGTGTGTGCGTATGTGTGTGCGTGTGTGTGTGTGTGTGTGTATGTATGTGCGTATGTATGTGTATGTGTGTGTATGTGTGTGTGTGTGTGTGTGTGTGTGTGTATGTGTGTGGGAGGGAGGGCTGTACTTGTACTTGTATGGTAGTGATTCAGTATTACGAGTGAACTACCGATGAGTCCATGGCAGGACCAACAGTAGAGGGAGGGGGGGGGGGGTACTCGCACAAGACCTTTGATTTTCTGTAGGATCCCACACGGTATATTTCTACTGTCCCTCTGTATGACCCCTTCTAGGGCCAATGTGACATTGTAACGATGGGTTTATAGAACAGGCGGGAGTCTTTCACAGTGTGTATGCGGAAAACAAATGGCAGAATGTGTGAGGGAATGTCGCTTCTATACTATGTGTGCAACGTATCCTGTCATACTGTCACCTCTTTTACAGCTTGATCGGTTATTTAGATTGTGTGCAAACACTGCCTGTAGATTCCAGTCATGATGTCATTATGGGTCATGATTATTATAACAATGACTTCATTCTTAATTATATCACCAACGCATTCAATCCATAAGACTAATTCTATGTCCAGAGCTTCAAGTAAATGGGTGATTCTGCCTGTGTGTGTTGTTTGGTATGTGTGCGGGTGTGGTGGTGTGTGTTTGGGCGCGTGTGTGTGTGTGTGCGTTTATGTGCACTCTTCCCGTTGTACATTCTACAGGGCTAGCTGAGCTTCTGAGGATCTCTACTGGATAGTGTTTAGCAGTTGAGATTGGTGAAAGTGACAGCACTGGACAGGGATCACTGATTTCAAGCAGCTACTGCAGTAAGAGATACTCCAAGAGCACACTACCTGTCATTGATCGCAACACTATGACATCACTTGTATAGACATGATGTATACAGATTGTCTATGACACACAGTGTTGTGTTACTATGTAGATATAATGATCAACTGAACTACATGTACTGTCTAGTCCAGTCTACTGTGGTATCAGTTTTACTGAATATGTTCATGTCTACTCTCACCTACTGTTTTTACACTAGTCACTGTACAGAATAGTTACCGGTATGTCAGTTAAACCTGGAAAACTCTACTCTACAAATGTTTATACTGCAATGTATATTGCCATAGCAGTCAGCATACCCTGTACATACAAGTTCATGCTACTATCCTTGAGATACACATCATATTTTACTCTAGTATTGAAATCTAGCAGCACTGCTAGCATTGGTGTGACAAATGTAGAAATGCCCGTTGCAGCCGCTGTGTACTATCACGTCAAAGCATGAAGCATCACAAATGTAGCCATTGTTCGACCTGAGCAAGCACAGACCGCAGCTCCTTCCACATTGTTTCCCATTGTGGCCAGCTTTCCAGTAGCCCACAGGACATATCCTGCCTGAACATGGCAATGTGTCCAAAATCCAAATGTGTTTGTGTGTACGTACGAGCACGCGCGCACGCACGTGTTTGTGTGTGTGTGTGTGTTTGTGCACGTGAATGTGTTTGTGGTGGGGGGGGGGGGGGAGGTGCACATGGATGTGCATACACGTGCGTGTGTTTGTTATGTGTGTATATACATACTCAGCGGGACAGCATGCCAAACTAAAGTGTGCCCATTCATCCCAAGCTCATGAACGGGATCCTACCCCTGCCAGTATTTGTATTATGTTACCATCAGTAATATGCAGCAGTGTTGTAATGATCAAATTCATCATGGTTCAGATCTACAATGTACTGTCGTGAACATTGAAATCAGATGGGATGACCGGGACCGGCACCCTATACTGCTTTTAACGTGTACACACACTGTCCATGTACGCGCACTATAGTTAACGTACACACCATAAAAATGGATCAGCAGTGCTCACGGCTGCAAGGTCAGCGCCACGTGGCCGCTTGACTTTTCAACGGATTTCAAAGCCCACGACAGTACCTGTCCCTCCAGGAATCCGCGGGCAGAAAGTTGAAATTCTGCGCAGAATTCTGCGCCCACAAATCGCTACATTATGCGGCGGATAGCGTGAATTCTGCGGCAATACTGCGGTATTTCTGCGGCGCTGCACCGGCGAAAAGACATGGCTATATGCTATGTTCAAGTATCAATAAAAAATATTTAGTGGTCGAAAACACACGATAGGCTCAATACAGTAACGAATAAAACTCGCTCGACTTTGAATGCAACAAAATAGTGACAGGACACTGCACTGTGCATGTGCATGAATATGAAGCGCGTGCTCGCATTGCCCCCAAACCGTGATTTTCACGATTCTGCGGTGAAAACTGTGAATTCCGCGGGATATTCAAAAAACATGAATTCCGTGGAATTCCGCGGATTTTGCCGCGCCCGCGGATTCCTGGAGGGACAGCAGTTCCTTCAAGTGTAGATAAATGGAGGTGGCAAACGTCACGGACCATGATTCTGTGACGATACTGCGCCTAGAGATCACTGGCCGTGCTCATGGGCAGGCGCAAGAGTATGTAACGTCTGCGGAGGCGGGGTCTGAGCCCTCTGGATTTATTATTAGTATTATTGCAAATAGCCCTGAGTAATTACACGAATGTATAAAAACCAGCATTTGCTTCCGGAAAGGATTCACAAGAATAAGATAAAAACACCATGGCTCAATGCAACTGCACATAGGAAAAGCTGCTTCTATTTTCAAGTTCAAGTGGCAATGTCAGAAAGACGGTAGACTAGCCGAGAGTTTCCAGTGCGTACAGATCCTGAACAAGCCACACACGCTCTGGATTTGGACGAGCAGATAGTTTAGATTTCCACGAGCGCAATGGCACAGTGTTCAAAACGGGCGCGGGGGTGCCAACAGCAAGTTGCAGTGTCGGCATGCTGGTATCGTACAGGCACGCCTAGACTGCATGTGATTTCAGGCTTCATATTTCAACACTTTGTATGAAGTAAGCGTAGTACTTCAAGTATAAAGCATCTTGAATAGTGACACAATTAATAATAGCCGGTAAGTAGTTGTGATGTCATAGCAGTACAGCAGGTAAGTAGTAGTGATGTCATTGCAGTACAGCCTGTAAGTAGTAATGATGTCATGGCCAATATTTTGCTTGTAACTTGAAAATATTCACAATATAGTCCCTCTCCATGCTTCCAGGATGGTGGAACGGGCGGAACTTGAAATGGAAAAGAAACTGTGAACGGGCCTAGCTGAGAAAGAAAAAGATCTTCTTGGTGATGGCTTGGAAAAATGAACATTGGCTATGAGAGCCGTCACTGATAAGACTGGAAGATAGAACATAGATTGGGCCTAGCTAGGGCACTAATGAATGTGGCACATAAAAAACCATTGGCTGTGTGAATAATAATATTATCAGCGGCATACTTGAAGTAGTCAGGGTAGGTAAGTGTAATTTGTCATGAGACCAGTATTGATGGTGGATATGCTAAAATACATATACATGTAGAAAAGTGATGATACAGTGGTCCCTCTATAATCCGGCACCATTTGTGCCACGAAAATCTGCTGGATTAACAAATCTGATTTACTGCTGCAATGTACATGAAGAGGACAATTTGGCTACTGAAAATTGTGCTGGTTTATCGAGGGTGCTGGATTATAAAGTGCCGGATTAGAGAGGGACGACTGTACTAGCATTGAAACTGGAGAATGGGACGGTCAAGGGTGGACTGTGAGGAGACTAGCATTGAAACTGGAGAATGGGACGGTCAAGGGTGGACTGTGAGGAGACTAGCATTGAAACTGGAGAATGGGACGGTCAAGGGTGGACTGTGAGGAGACTAGCATTGAAACTGGAGAATGGGACGGTCAAGGGTGGACTGGGAGGAGACTAGCATTGAAACTGGAGAATGGGACGGTCAAGTGTGGACTGTGAGGAGACTAGCATTGAAACTGGAGAATGGGACGGTCAAGGGTGGACTGGAAGGAGACTAGCAACAGCAGTGAGGATGCACACATGCACATGCACTGCCGACTTAACCTTTTTACTGGCATTTCTTCGGTTCGTCCGGAATCAGAACGTTGGCTGGGGTGGTGCCAAGTAGCATGGGGTGGCGCTCGTACGACTTTGATTTACGGAAGCGACTGTCCGTGCCATACAGAAAATCAAAGATTCCTGCATAGCAGCAGCCAACATAAACAAAAAATGTCAGTTTTTATTATTACACAGTAGGTATCGGTTATAGCGTGGGCGTTTGAAAAACGACTTTCTATTTTTATATCCGATATTTATTACACACGATATTGAAAATCAAGTGTGACATATCATGTGCATGTGCGCAGAGTCAGGAAGATCATCCTACATGCAATGTAGTGCTACTGTGCATGCGGCTGGTCATAGTCCCATAGCCTCATAGGCTGACCATTGTGGCTATGCAACATGAGTTACATGACCACAACAGTTGAACCTGCAGCATTACGTAGTCTACGACCCAACGCGAGTCAGATCAGAACTGCATTGAACAGATGTTATTACTACAGGCGATATACTTTGTACTAATCTGGTATGTTTTGCTACACAAAGTCCATTTTTAGGACCGATATATTCGGCTGTCCGATAAAATTGCTTGTAAGAATAAATGTGCACTTGAAACCCATGTTATGATTATGAAAACATGAGAGTTCATTCTTGTAGGCAGTATATTCTTTTACACGACCACGCTATAACCGATACGCACTGTACGAGGTACACAAACTCACCGGCAGGCACATGGGGCTAGCATGGAGTCAGCAGTACATGGGGCTAGCATGGAGTCAGCAGTACATGGGGCTAGTATGGAGTCAGCAGTACATGGGGCTAGCATGGAGTCAGCAGTACATGGGGCTAGCATGGAGTCAGCAGTACATGGGGCTAGCATGGAGTCAGCAGTACATGGGGCTAGCATGGAGTCAGCAGTACATGGGGCTAGCATGGAGTCAGCAGTACATGGGGCTAGCATGGAGTCAGCAGTACATGGGGCTAGCATGGAGTCAGCAGTACATGGGGCTAGCATGGAGTCAGCAGTACATGGGGCTAGCATGGAGTCAGCAGTACATGGGGCTAGCATGGAGTCAGCAGTACATGGGGCTAGCATGGAGTCAGCAGTACATGGGGCTAGCATGGAGTCAGCAGTACATGGGGCTAGCATGGAGTCAGCAGTACATGGGGCTAGCATGGAGTCAGCAGTACATGGGGCTAGCATGGAGTCAGCAGTACATGGGGCTAGCATGGAGTCAGCAGTACATGGGGCTAGCATGGAGTCAGCAGTACATGGGGCTAGCATGGAGTCAGCAGTACATGGGGCTAGCATGGAGTCAGCAGTACATGGGGCTAGCATGGAGTCAGCAGTACATGGGGCTAGCATGGAGTCAGCAGTACATGGGGCTAGCATGGAGTCAGCAGTACATGGGGCTAGCATGGAGTCAGCAGTACATGGGGCTAGCATGGAGTCAGCAGTACATGGGGCTAGCATGGAGTCAGCAGTACATGGGGCTAGCATGGAGTCAGCAGTACATGGGGCTAGCATGGAGTCAGCAGTACATGGGGCTAGCATGGAGTCAGCAGTACATGGGGCTAGCATGGAGTCAGCAGTGAGATGGTGCTGGTGAGGTCTGCCATGCTCAACTGACCAGAGGTCTCGGCATCATCGAATGGCAGACTCACCAAACTGAGGGCATTGTAGTGCATTGAATCAGAATCAGACGATACATATAGGAACATTCATGGTAAGAAGAGACAACAACCATGACACTGGTATGCAAGTGAACTGCTGCCGTGCTGGAAACAGGGAGCATTTCTTTTCTGTTGATGGGGGCAGCGATTGGGGGAGTAATAAAGTCGTCACCAAAGAAATCCAGCCAATGCCATGGATACCTATACAGTGGCATGGTGCCTGTCACAATCGCATTCATGCATTTACAGTCATTAGAGGGTCTACCGGCATAGCACTGAACTAAAACAGTCCGCCGCTCTGCACTCTGCCTGCTGCAGTCGAGTCGAGCACAGCACAGACTGTGCACTGCAGAGTGCAGTCCCGACAGCAGAGCATGTGCCATGCACTAGGCTTGTACACTAGCACTAGCAGTGGCAGTGCATGCTACCCATGCACAGTACAGCTACCGGTAGCAGTGGCAGTGCACGCTGCCCATGCACAGTACAGCTACTGGTAGCAGTGGCAGTGCATGCTACCCATGCACAGTACAGCTACCGGTAGCAGTGGCAGTGCATGCTACCCATGCACAGTACAGCTACTGGTAGCAGTGTCAGTGCATGCTACCCAAGCACAGTACAGCTACCGGTAGCAGTGGCAGTGCATGCTACCCATGCACAGTACAGCTACTGGTAGCAGTGGCAGTGCATGCTACCCATGCACAGTACAGCTACCGGTAGCAGTGGCAGTGCATGCTACCCATGCACAGTACAGCTACCGGTAGCAGTGGCAGTGCATGCTACCCATGCACAGTACAGCTACTGGTAGCAGTGGCAGTGCATGCTACCCATGCACAGTACAGCTACCGGTAGCAGTGGCAGTGCATGCTACCCAGGCACAGTACAGCTACTGGTAGCAGTGTCAGTGCATGCTACCCAAGCACAGTACAGCTACCGGTAGCAGTGGCAGTGCATGCTGCCCATGCACAGTACAGCTACCGGTAGCAGTGGCAGTGCATGCTACCCATGCACAGTACAGCTACTGGTAGCAGTGGCAGTGCATGCTACCCATGCACAGTACAGCTACTGGTAGCAGTGGCAGTGCATGCTACCCATGCACAGTACAGCTACCGGTAGCAGTGGCAGTGTATGCTACCCTGTACCCATGCACAGTACAGCTACCGGTAGCAGTGGCAGTGCATGCTACCCATGCACAGTACAGCTACTGGTAGCAGTGGCAGTGCATGCTACCCATGCACAGTACAGCTACCGGTAGCAGTGGCAGTGCATGCTGCCCATGCACGGTACAGCTACCGGTAGCAGTGGCAGTGCATGCTGCCCAAGCACAGTACAGCTACTGGTAGCAGTGGCAGTGCATGCTACCCATGCACAGTACAGCTACCGGTAGCAGTGGCAGTGCATGCTACCCATGCACAGTACAGCTACTGGTAGCAGTGGCAGTGCATGCTGCCCATGCACGGTACAGCTACCGGTAGCAGTGGCAGTGCATGCTGCCCATGCACGGTACAGCTACCGGTAGCAGTGGCAGTGAATGCTGCCCAAGCACAGTACAGCTACCGGTAGCAGTGGCAGTGCATGCTGCCCATGCACGGTACAGCTACCGGTAGCAGTAGCTGTACTGTGCTTGGGCAGCATAACATTGGCCGGGTTTTTTGGCTACGACTGTAATTTTCTCGGTGCAAATTTCGAAAAGTTAGCACGTGGCTTTATACATGCGGTCAGAACTTTCTTTTTGGGGGAGGGAGTATTTCCTTTTAGGGGTACAGTTAGGGGTTGGGGGGGGGGGGGGGAGAGCAGGATGTTTAGTACAGCTACTGAAGTACCAATCAATGCAGAATGCACACACTACACTACTAACCTTGCATGATTGTAGTCGTGGTACTCGTTGGACGGCATGAACGGCAGGTGGAAGCCGCAGTGTTCGACGGACACGGAGGCCAGCGAGATACTGGCCCACAACAGCAGCAGCATACAGTGAGAGCCGAGCAGGACGGGACCAGCCATTACCGGTAATTTGTTTGAGAGGAAATCCTGGACTGGTGACAGTACAGGCTCGAGATGCTGATCGGCGAGGTCCACACGCGGTGAACCTTGTGAACGTGTTTTTCATCGCTGCCAAGCTCCTCAAGAGGCTTCAGCTCCTGGACTATCCTTTCTGCTTTCGCTCACTGTGATAATCGCTGGCAACCCTGGCTACGTCATTAGTCACAAAGCTCGCTAGCAGTGGTCACTCGGCGGGGGGGGGGGGGGGGGGACACTCGCCCCATGTCCGAAATTTCGACTCCACCGTCTCATACTCTTGGACTAGAGACACATTGAGTACTCTTGGACTATATATGCACCGAGTTGAACTGTATAGATCCGGTAGAACAACAAGACACGTGCACTATTGCAGGCAACGGTTTAGATCTGTTGACCATCTAGCCACGCACTGAATTATTTCCATTTTGACGTTTGAATAGATGTTCAAAATATCCAACACGCAGTTCAGTTCAGTTGGCTCAGTCCTCCAGTCTGCGGTCATCAAAATCATGCCATTCATGGCGATCAACACGCTTTCTCTTACAACTCGGTCTGGCTGTGCTCAATCTTGACCATTATCACTGCCATACTGGGACCAACAGTTTACTCGATTTATAAAACATTAATTCTCGGTTCACTCCATAATGGAAACTAATTATTGCGCTCGTAGATCTACTCTGCAATCATCAGCCAATAATCCAAGGAACCGAAAAGAATCCTATCAGCTGTGTCAGATCAACGCTTTCTTCGTGCACACATGCGCCATGGCAACCATGACCGGAGTCGGAGACTGGCGGAGAGTCGGAGACTAGACCCCACCCTCACTCAGGGCAGTCAGGCCCAACGCCGGCCAAATACGAAGACTACTGCCAGTAGACCTACTGGCTGCATCGACCGCGTTGACGTAATCGTTGTCATCTCCTTCCGACTATTTTTTACTATTTTTACTATTCTCTTAGTGCCGATACTGATACAGTGATAGCGAAGAGCCCAGGCGATCGAGCTGATGCTGAACATTTCAAGCGTGATTTTCGAAGAGCTGTTTGCCCTCATGAAATTCGCTCTGTACCTGAGCCACAACTGATTAACGGCTTGTACTTGAAAGTACGTGTTATTGCTTGAGAAAAGACAACTCTTTGGTCCGAAAAAGTTATGCAGTAACTCGATGTCGATCGTGATCAGTCCGCAGTGCGAGTGAACTGTGGTTACGCGGACAGGCTAGAGTGGGAACAATGGCAGACAGGGTGCGCTATAACATAGCCTTCTTACTTTCCAATCTAGATGCATCCGTGATCTTGGAACTCTTGCTGGAGAATGATGTGCTGGACGTTGATGAATATAAAACTGCCTCCAGCAAGGAGAACGTGAAGTCTGATCTGACGAAGTACGTGGTGAGGTTGATGCTAACGAAAACGGAGGAACAGGTGGATTCGTTCCTGAGGCTCATTCAGCACAGCCAGCCTCATGTAGCTGAACATGTTGCCAGTACCATGGCGAAGCGACGCGATGCAACTGCCAGTGGGAAAAGTGCCCGTCCAACGAAGCCAACGTCGGCAGATGATGAGTCAACACGTGGCTCGTCCTCCGGTAAGTGTTCACATTGATCATTACACTTTACAATGGCGTAGGAAGATGGGTTGGGGGGGGGGGGGGGGGGGCTCGTTGAACATTCGTGTAACTACAGTCGTCCCTCTCTAATCCGGCACTTGTTTATCCAGCACCCTTGCAAACCAGCACACTCTCTGGCGGAACGGATTTTTTCAGTTAATTTTCTACGCTTTAATCCGGCACTTGAATTCCGCCTCCAGCAGCGATTTTCTGCAACAAATAACTCAAACTGTACATACTTAGATTTTCTAATCCAGCAGTTGTACATCGCATAACGTCAGGGAGCATTGTAACATACACAACACATGTAACATACTACACTTGGGAATTTCCTATGCCAGAGCATAGGATATTCCCAAGTGTATGTTAAAGACATGCATTCCACAAAGTACTTGGATTGACACAGAAAATCCCTACGTTTTGATGTACGACACAAACATGTATGTTAACAGGTGGGCCGGATTGGAGGGCAGGATTTGATAATCCAGCACCCTTGTTAATCCAGCAGAACATGTTGTTGCAAAAGGTGCCGTATTAGAGAGGGACGACTGTACATGACTTGTACAGTCCTGCTCAATGAAATCCAGTCACAGCGTCACTCAAGTTCACGCTGGAATGAAATCCCAGTCACAGCGTCACTCAAGTACGCGCTGGAATGAAATCCAGTCACAGCGTCACTCAAGTATGCGCTGGAATGAAATCCAGTCACAGCGTCACTCAAGTATGCGCTGGAATGAAATCCAGTCGCAGCGTCACTCAAGTACACGCTGGAATGAAATCCAGTCACAGCATCACTCAAGTACACGCTGGAATGAAATCCAGTCACAGCACCACTCAAGTACACGCTGGAATGAAATCCAGTCACAGCGTCACTCAAGTACACGCTGGAATGAAATCCAGTCACAGCATCACTCAAGTACACGCTGGAATGAAATCCAGTCACAGCGTCACTCAAGTACGCGCTGGAATGAAATCCAGTCACAGCATCACTCAAGTACAAGCTGGAATGAACGTTGCGCAGCCCTAGACCTGCGAACATTGGGCTGCAAAATGGTGCAAAGCACAAACTTGAGTGACGCAACTGAATTTCATTGAGCAGCACTGCCAGTACTTACTTGTTAGCAGTGAGAAGTGCTTACAGAGATCAATTAGTTTATGCATTCACATCAATCGTATTGAGAGCTGACCCTGGGGATGCAGTGTGTTCAGTTAGATGGACAGTCCTGAGGTTATAACCAGATCTACATGACGATTCTGTAGATGTACAAGAAATGCAGGTGCCACCGACGTGAAGTACTGTCATGGGTCACTAGATTATTGCTAGGGAGTTCAGTTCCAGCCTGGGTCAGGTGAAAACTGCAGTCACAACTTGCGTGTACATTTACAATGGGGCCCGCGTGAAAGCTCTTTGGCCTGACTTCGAGCCCGCTTCTATCTGATCCCATGGCCAGTGCTCCCTTGTCGATGCTATTTTTAGGTAGCTGAGGTCATCGCCTTTCCATTGATGCCACACATGCCATGCTTGGACAAAAAAGATGGAGCCGCGATTTGCACAGAGGCATAGCGAAGTACTGATTTCGACCAGATGCATACTCGGCCCCGGGAGGTACACCCAATTTTCGTGTTCAGCAGCCTCGAATTAGTCTAAAACAAGAGGATTCCAGAACATTTAGCCTCGCACTGTATCGCAGTAGAAGGAACATTATCACAGAAGCCAGCCCACAGCGATTTCCCGGTGTTGGACGTAAAAATCGAGTGAATTGCCCGCTCACTGTAGAAGCTGTGACGGTGAAAGCATGTGAGTTGTGCAAGCAGGTACACCCGACATGCATGCCGTGCAGCACATGCATGCACACGGCGCCATGCATGTGCACACCCTGTACCCCCATGCACTTCAGTTCGCACGCGCATCTATGCACCAAATAGTGCAGTGCTGGACGGAAACCACACCGTCCCCATTCATACTTGAATTACTTTCTGTGACTGCTCAGTTGTTCATTTTACAAACTTCAATCATAACTTTAACTTTGGTTTAGGTAAAGTAAAAAGTAATTTATCGTGTCCGTTCCTGAAGGGAACACACGACGGCCGCTAACACCCGGTAACCCCTAGCGGCATTGCCTTTGGATTGCCTTTGAATTTATGTTTCAAACTTTCGCAGGTCGTTTCTGAAACCTTCCCGGTTCACAAAAAATAGCGTTTCATGCGAAACTTTCGAATATGATTTTTCGAGTGAAGTTCCTACTATTGCTTTGCATCGTAGCTGCTGATGAGGGTTGTTTTTCTCAAGTTCTGCAGTTTACTTCGAAATCGCAAACATTGCTTTAGTCGGAGTCAGTTGGTCTCATTGCTACGCCGGCTGCAGCTATAGTGCAGCTTTCCAGAAAATACCACTTTCCAGACAAAATGTTCAACTGACACTCAGTACAGTAGTTCTTTGAGAGAGAAGATTGCAAGGTACTTTGGCGGCGGTCATAAATTTGAACATTTCCATGGAAATACTGAGCACGGGATTACCAGCCATCATTCTATGACCTCCAAAAAATCTCCGAGACCAGGTCAACATAGGCATCAACACCATTGTGGAAAATCCACTATCAGTGGAACATGACTTTGTTACTAGCCGTAGAGTTCTAGCAAAACCACTGGTAGGAGATAAGCCCAGGATTCTTGTTTGTAATAGCTGGAACCGAGGTGTTATTTTTGAACGTGAACTTATCCCTCTGTCATTGCTCAGTGCACACAACAGTCTGATAACACTACCATTAGGCCAAACTAAAGAAGGTGTGTGGTTCGACTAACATGGACATTTTTTTTACGGGCGGGCGGGCGGATTTTTTTTTTAAATATATTTTCTAGTACATGTAAATACACTGTACTGCCTTTAGACACCCAGTACATCGGCATTATTACGCAGTGTTATGCCATACATGTTGTTTAAAGGGATCACTGGCTAATACTTTGAAACATTGTGTAGCTCTGGAACGAGAAGAGAATAACTTCAAGCGGTGACTCTGACTGTCCAAATCATCAAGCAAATGAAGAACGATGCGAGTTGAAAGTAAGTTCGGGAACTACTTCGAACTCAATCGAAGTACAAATTGTACAATGTACCGGTACATGTATTGCTAGTTTGGTGTCGGCGTGCACGAATACATGGGCTTTTTCCATCGACGCTTCCTATGCTTGCACACATGGAGCAGCAACTTACCGGTACAGGTGAACTATCGTTCCCAATACACGAGGAAAGTGCAATCTCGTCTGTCCTTCATCCCAAAACAGAAGGCCGTCCTTAATCTGGAACGAGGCAATCACTCTCAACCGGACGGTCACTTCAAAATAAGTCTCGCCAGTCTGCCGGTGGTCGTATCGAGTAGACTCTACTACCAGCACAAGGCAGCAGTCGTACCACTCACTGCACTGCACTGCAGTACAACTACAAGTCAAGTCCAAAAGGAGCCGCCTAGCCTGCGTCCGCAGACTCACGCTGCACAACACGTAGACGTGGACGTGTTCAGTCCACGTACGTCAGTCACACGACAGCCCGCCGAAAAAAAGTTACGGTCGGGCTGAAAAATGTACGGTCGGTCGGGTGAGTCGAACCACAGACCTTCTTCAGTGTGGCCTTACTATGATTTTTAACTTACTTTCTCCGTTGATAAGCAAAACTTCTTAATAGGGTTTTGAACTCGGATAGCGTTTTAGTGTTCCGTTTATGATCTTTCTATAGGCATTAGACACACATGTCGGTGATCTATCCCCCCCCCCCCCCCCCAGATAGGGTAGCCATGGTGACATCCATTACTCTGATAGGCTTAGAACCTCCGATACGCGTGGAGTCCTTTGGAGAAATTTAAGAAGTATATCTCTGTCCTGACAGGATGTCACCAGAACACACCCACAGGTGCACAACACCGAAGTGAGACATGAGAAACAGAGCCTTCTTCACAATCATTCCTGTGAGCTCCTTAGCCCAGAGAGATTGCAAAATGCCTGTCAAGAAAAAAAGAGGTAAGGACAGAGCCGCTCGTATGCTGAAAATCAAATCACCGCCAACAACACCAGTTACTGTGCGCACCGGACAAAAAGACATGAAGACCCCAATCAAAAGTACGTCACTCTTCATACCGCTTACCTCACGGCAGGTAGACAGCTGACAAAGAAGTTGTTCGCGCAACTCTGCTCAGACTTTGCTTCTCTAAATGTCATTCATGATTAAATTCATGTACAGACAACTCAAGGGGTGCCATGAGCAAGTATCAAGTGATGCTCCGGTGTTGGAACTCAACTGGTCACGCAAGCGGAAAGAGTTGTGTGCGTTCGATTGAGTTATGACCGCGAAACGATGTTGAATCCATTCATGAATCGTCCCTGGCTATTCACATCACCCCATGTTAGGGTGAATGGATTCCAAACCCATTCCAGGGCTACATGACATGAAATCAAATGACAAGATTCCATTCATGAATCAATTCATGGCTGTAATCGAACGCACCCAGTGTGGCCGAGGAGGCGGTCAAAAGATCACCACTGAAATCGCACAAAAGCTGATTGTTCTAAACAATCAGAACTGAGGTCGATTGTCGTTGAACTAACTAGCCAGCAAGCTGGTAAGGGAAGGAGTAAATGTCTCACCTGTGACTGTTTGAACTAGGTACAAGGTGCTTCAGATGCGGAGACGGCGACGATACATCAAGCCGGATTTGACAGCCGAGCATAAAATAAAGCGCATGAAATTTGTCCTCTCCCAATTGAATGAGCAGACCATGAAATTCTCCGACCTGAAAAACGTGACACGTGGAGGCGAGAAGTGGTTCTGCATGATGCATGACAGGCATGCGACAGAAAATGTGGTGGTTTCACGAGGATGCAGCATACACAACCAGTGATGCTGGTACAGTCAAACCTAGCTTATCCGGTCCTCTTTTATCCAGATCCCTTGCCATCCGGGAGAAAATAATTATTGTTAGTTACCGATTTACAGCATATGCCATGCATACATACAGTATGTGTGTTCGATTATCCGGTTCCCTCGCCTATCGGATTTTTTTGTGGAAAATTGATGTGTGCGGTTATGCGAGGTCTGACTGTATGCGTCCAACCATGTGGAAATGTTGGGGCTGGGAAATGGAAGTTTGAAAAGCCGCGTGGCTCGAAGAAGTGACCAGGAGCCGGCCAGCCACTGCTGTACCAGCACGATGGTTTGTGTCCGCACACAACAAAAATCAATGGGCGTGTGTTTGCAGGACAGGAGAAAGCGAAAGGATTTGACATTCAGGTTTTTGTTCAGGCTGGACAAAACCCCGATCTCAACGCGGACGACTTGGCGTTCTTCCACAGCCTGCAGACCGACGTGTCACCGATGGTGAATGAAACCAGAAAAGGAGCTCAGAAGTTCTGCAGGCTTTGGAACCGTGCTGGCAGAGGAACCCCACTGCAAAGATGAAAAACATTAAGTTTTGGTTGTGCCGCTATGGCATCTTCCATGGGATTCTGGAGAGCGGCGGAGAGAAAAACTGCCGACAGCGGCACCGTGCAAATCGTCAAGTTCACAGTTCAAGCAAAGAAGTACGATCAAATATTTTCCCGGCATCTTTTAATGTTTACAGAGCGTGAGCTGTCAGTGTGTCAGCACCGCAGACGGGAGTCAGCGAGGAAGCAGACTCAATGCAGAGAATGAGTTGTGATCGGATTGAGATGAAGAGAGAAGTTGGACCACTTCGAAACAAACTGTGTGGCATCTATAAACTACTATCTCTCGTATGCTGCTCTGTTCTCCCCTCTGAAAACTGTGTTGTAGCCATTGAATACTTTTGACGGAACTGTAAAAAAATGCAACAAAGTTTCGCTTAACAAAGGAAGTAGGTCATACATCCCTTTTGAAAAAGATTTAAAACTTACAATAGGTTTATTCATACTTTCTGTTTCCTTGGTAGGTATCACCATGACAACAGTTGGCAAACAGAAAACGCAGCCATTGCAGCACACAGTGGGAGCTTGTCAGGCAGACCAACAACGGACGTCCAATAGATGTGAGCCAATCTTCAAACAAACAACATCAGCTGAAACAACCGCCAATGTAACTAAAACGGGTGCAACATCCAATACAACATTGACTACAACACAGGATTCAACAAGATCAACAACTTCAAGCCAGTCATCTCTACCGGACAAAGACCGACACTTCACTGGCAGGAATGACATTGTTACAGAGATCAGTCACAACATTCTCACAACAAAGTCCAAGTCATCACCTACACGAGTGCAGAGTCTTGTGGCACCAGCTGGTTTTGGTAAGACGTCCGTAGCCATTGCTGTGGGACATGTATGTCGCAATGCTGGTTGTCGTGTGGAGTTCTTTGACTTACGCGGTGTAGCTGGTGTTGACGCTGTCCAGGCAATGATTCAAAACCGACTCGAAACAAACCCAGCTTCATCTGAAACTACTGGCAAGACAACGAAATCAACTGATGGCATGGATGATGATGGTGGCAAACACCACATGTTATGTATCCTAGACAATGCCGAGGATGCTATCCAGGCTGGTGCTGATAAAGATCTCCAACTACAAGATGTTGTGGAGCAACTGCTTCGACTACAACCTCATGTCCATGTCCTACTGACAAGTCGTGTTTACTTTGACCTACACGCTGCCCAGTTTAAACTACAACAACACCGTCTTGATGGTCTGACAAAGGTTTGTGCTGTTGGTCTTCTCCATGGTCTATGTGTTGAAGGTAGTGTGAGCATTGAAGACGCACAGAGGTTAGTGGATCATTGTGGAAATGTCCCACTTGCTGTACGCATTACAGCTGGTCTTCTACAAGGTGGTCGATTAACTCCAACCAGGCTGCTATCGTTGTTCAAGAAGATTGGTCTTGATGTGTTCAACGATGATGGTCTGAAACCGAATCATCGAATTCTGCAGCTGTTGAAAGTAGCATACAACACACTACGTCAGGATGACAAAGAATCATTCCATGCTTTCTCTCAGCTGCACTCCTCCTTCTCATCTAAATGCGCTTGTGTGATGGTGGATTTTGTAGGTGATGATGTTGATGTGGTTCATCTTCTACGTTTTGATCCGTTGATCAAGATTTGTTTCCTGGATTACAATTCGTGTTTGGATCGCTACTCGTTACAACCATTTATCGCCGAGTTTGGTCGTTACCAATGCCCAGAAGACAAGCAACACATGTACCAACGGCGAATGTGCAAGCATTTCCTTGGCTTTGTGAAGGAAGTTGATGGCTGTAAGGGTTGTGGTGCAGACAAAGCAGTGTATTGGAGTTACCAATTGCTTCAGGAACAGGTGAATATACAGATGGCATTGTCTGTTGTTGATGTTGTGTCTGGCGATGACTTGCTTCCTTTCTCTGGATCAGCAGGGTGGTCGGGTATCCTACTTGCCTTGTTTGGGAGAGCAATGTTTGTTGGAGAGTTTGTGGACAGGATACAAAGATTGGACAAAGCACCGCTATCTGTACAAGCTGACAGCATTTGCACCTCGGTCCTGTGTTGTATTTGCCGTCAAAGCATTGCAAATTCTGATGTCACTTTTGAGAGTTCGGATTCCAGAACCCAAATGCTCCTGGAGAAATCTGAACAAGAACCGACAGGAGTGGGGTCACCGCTGCAGCTACTTTTGATGCAACTTTCTCTGGAGTCATGCAGGCTATCCATGTCTCTGGACATCAACTGCAGGGAAGGACAGGTTGAGCCCAGCCAGGAAACACTATCCCGTCTTCAGGTGGTGTACCAGCGTGTTACAACAACACTGAGAATTGGTCTTGCAACAGGTGTCACTGAATGTGCCCTGAAACTCATTCAACTGTATTGTTCCACTCTGCTAAACAAGGATATACCCAATGTACAGGTGGTAGAAGACCTTGCTGAGAGAGTGATGTCATCACACTTCCTATCACAGGATGGTGCACTCGCTTCATGTACTGCAATGTACGACTTTCTGCTACAATGCATTGCTGTGATCCTGGGCAAGGTCATGTCAAGTTTCTGCAGCAGTGAGTGGATTATTTCACCATCATTGATTACAACACTGGGTATACCACTGTGCAAGTGGAAACATGTACCAACTGCTATCAGCCGCACGATCAATACCCATGACGACCACACTACTGTGTCTGCTCTTCAGTTACAACGGTACCTGTACTGCATGGATAATGACACAGTAACCACACTACTGGACATGTACGTGGGTGGTATGTACAACCACCTGTACATATCCTTGGTAGTTAATGGAAGGGCACACACAACTCCAACGGGTCTCACTCTACCAGCACAGCATCACTTCAACATTGTGATGGACTATGTCAGGAGATGGTGTCATGGCTCAAATCCAGCAGATCACACAACAGCACTGATTAACAACTGTAGCCAGAACAAGGTACCTGATCTGGAAGTGGTGCAGTCTTGTATACTGACGGCTAGAGAACTGCTCAATATGGAGGTAAGCTGGTAGTGCAGTGTACACAATTCAGGTTACCATAACTGTTTTCCAACCAAATTCCACTCTGAATGGAACATTGTATTGCAAACCAGTATACTCAGTAATTATCTACTGTATAGTGTGTGTCTCTCTAAGGTTGATTTCTTCAAGAACACAGAGGGGAATGTGATAATTTTGAACATTGTTAACTAGTGAAATGGAATGTGTTGCTTTCCGGTATATCAGCCTGATTTGTTATAATTGTGCATGAGGTTCTCTGTTTTCAGTGTACTGGCTTCAGTTACTTTCTTTTCTACACTTTTCTTTGTTGTGTGCTTTGCTCTAGAATACGATCTTGGCGAGTGATGTTAGTTCCAAACTCTTCCCAGCGTTGAAGTCATTAGTTAATGATCTCAGTGCTTGCTTGCCAAGCAAGTGTGCAACTGGTCTGTCAGTGTCTGGAATTGTGTACTTACCACACTAGCTGGAGCCTTTTCTCTAGTATACTACTCTCTCCTTGCTGCCCTACACCGTCAATCCAAGAGAGGCCGTGTGAGCATTGATCACCACATTTTACTACTGGAATGGTGTCCACGTGTAGCAGCATGCTTTGTCTGCTATGACCTGGACAACATCACAGCATGTCCTCGTTGTGGCGTGGCTTACCTGTGTGGCAAACATCGTCAAACTGATGAACACCTAAGTGAACACAACCAACACTGTGCTATGCTGGCAGCACTCAGACATCGCATACTACAGTAAGTTAGAGTGTCAACATTGACTCACATGACAGATTGTGAGTGCTGTGTGATGAACTGGTGTGTTAGTGCCTTGGTATCATGAGAAATTTACAACTGAGTCTGTGTGTTAACATTTCTGTGTGGGGTGGAGGTGGGGTGCAGGTGTGTGTGTGTGGGGGGGGGGGGGGGGCGGGGGGTAGGGGTGGGGGGGGGGGTGCAGGTGTGTGTGTGTGTTTCGGAGGGGGGGGGGGGGTGTGCCGTTGTGGGGGAGGAGGGGATAGAGGTGTGTGGGTGTGGGAGGGGGGGGGGGGTGCAGGTATGTCTGTGTGTGTGTGGGTAGGGGGGGGGGGAGTTGGAGGGGAGGTGTGCGAACCAAACTTTTGGTCATTCGTAACATCATCATGCTGTATTTTCGAACTGCCTCTTTGTATTTCCTATTCTTGATGTTGTGTTACACTGTAACATTGGCTCAATAAGCCAGACTTTTAACCCTTTATGTACTGAAAAAATGTACGCAGACTGAATTTGATCTCGACTCGCCTCAAATTCCATAATTCTCCGGGTCATAACTTTGGTCTCCTTTTGACGATTTTTTTGTTGCCAGCTGACTGCGTACACCAGTCAGCTGGTCACCGTGCCTGCAGGGTACAACTTACTAGCCTGTTTGACCTTTTTTGGGTGCAGTCCTGTCACTCGAGTTGAACCTTGGTGTGAAAGTTGTCGCCTGCTGGCGTGGTGACCAGGTGATTTGGGCACCCAGGAGCACGTGACCGCTTGTTCAACCATGTTCGATTGGGAATAAAGGAGGAACGCTGCATCGCAGCCTTTTCGGACCAAAACCAGTCGACTCAGCGTCCAAAAGACTACAACATATGGGCCAATCGCGGTCATCCGTGCTTTTATAAGAACGAAACGGCGCTTTTAGTGACATTTTGCATACAAATCCCCATCTAGTAGGGCGCAGTCGACCAGTTTCGGTGGAAGTGCGCGAGTTCGATTGGGATTCAAGTAGGAAGGGAGCGTCTCAGCTTTCTCGGACCAAGACCATTCGACTCAGCACCTCGAAGACTACAACTGGTGAAATATTAATTTTTGCCTTAACTTCCCCTTTAAGAATGTCTATAAACACTGCCTGTAGATTCCAGTCATGATGACATTATGAGTCATGATTATTATAACAATGACTTCATTCTAGGGGTTAAAGGGGTGTACCGGGTACCCGGGTACCCGCCTGATAATCTCAGGTACCGTTAGTAAAAGGGTACTCGTTTGGATTTCGATGATCCAGTCAGTATGGAGCACCACTGCAGAGATCGTGTATTCCAGGTGGGAGTCAATTATTTACAACTCCACGCTGGATGTCTGCATTGTTGTTGCATTTTCGCACCTAGTAGATCTACCTCTGCGACTATCAGACACCAATCAATTTGCGAATCACATTGTGATATCAAAATACAACCCGAGAACAGGTATATTATATCTTGATTAATGTGAAAAATGGGCAAAAAATTAAACACGGCTGCTAAAGGGTACCCTTTAACCCGCCCGTTAAGAAAATTACCCGTTCGTTAGTTAAAGGTACACCCGTTTGACCCCTACTTCATTCTTAATTATATCACCAACGCATGCAATCCATAAGACGAATTGTATGTCCAGAGCTTCAAGTATATGGTTGATTCTGCCTGTGTGTGTTGTTTGGTATGTGTGCGGGTGTGGTGGTGTGTGTTTGAACGCGTGTGTGTGGTGGTGGCATGTGTTTGGGTGCGTGTGTGTGTGTGTGTTTGTGTATGTGCACTCTCGCCGTTGTACATTCTACAGGGCTAGGTGAGTTTCTGAAAATCTCTACTGGATAGTGTTTAGCAGTTGAGATTGGTGAAAGTGACCAGCACTGGACAGGGATCGTTTCAAGCAGCTACTGCAGTAAGAGATACTCCAACAGCACACTACCTGTCATTGATCACAACACTGTGACATCACTTGTATAGACATGATGTATACAGATTGTCTATGACACACAGTGTTGTGTTACTATGTAGATACAATGATCAACTGAACAACATGTACTGTCTAGTCCAGTCTACTGTGGTATCAGTTTTACTGAATGTGTTCATGTCTACTCTCACCTACTGTTTTTACACTAGTCACTGTACAGAATAGTTACCGGTATGTCAGTTAAACCTGGAAAACTATACTCTACAAATGTTTATACTGCAATGTATATTGTCATAGCAGTGTCAGCCATACCCTGTACATACAGGTTCATGCTACTATCCTTGAGATACACATCATATTTTACTCTGGTATTGAAATCTAGCAGCACTGCTAGCATTCGTGTGACCAGCAAGAAATACCCGTTGTGTGCTATCATGCCAAGTCATAAAATCATCATGAATGTAGCCATGGCTCGACCCGAGCACACAGACTTCAGCCCTTCCATACCGTTTCCAATTGTGGCCGGCTTTTCAGTAGACCACAGGACATATCCTGCCTGAACATGACAATGTGTCCAAGGTCCAATGTGTTTGTGTGTGTGTGCATGCGTGCACGCGTGCGCACGTTTTTGTGTGTGTATGTGTGTGTATGTGTGTATGTGGGTGTGTGTGTGTGTGTGTGTGTGTGTATATGTGTGTGTGTGGGGAGGGCGGGGGGGGGGGGGGGGAGGGGGAGGGAGGGAGGGGATGCGCATGGATGTGGATGCACGTGTGCGTGTATTTGTTATGCGTGAATGTGCATACATAAGGAGACACCATGCCAAACTAGCGTGTGCCCGTTCATTACAAGCTCATGAACGGGATCCTACCTCTTCCAGTACTTGCATTATGCGTGCACACATCAGTAATATGCAGCAGTGCTGTAATGATCAAATTTACCATGGTTAAGATCTACAATGTACTGTCGTGAACATAGAAATCAGATGGGATGACCGGGACCAGCACCCTTACTTCTGTTTGCACGTACACACACTATAGTTTATGTGCACACTGTAAAATGGATCAGCAGTGCTCACGACTGCAAGGTCAGTGCCCAGCGGCCGTTTGACTTCTCAACGGATTTCGAAGTCCACGACAGCACATTGAAGTGTAGTTAAATGGAGGTGGCACACGTCACGGACCATGATTCTGTGGCGATACTGCACTCAGAGATCACTACTGGCCGTGCTCATGGGCAGGCACAAGAGTATGGTAACGCCCGCTGGGGTGGGGGTACCTGAGCCCCCTGAGGCTCTGGATTCGGATGAGCAGATCCTGAGTTTGGATTTGCCACGAGCGCAGTGCCACACAGTGTTCAAGGGGGGGGGGGGGGGTGCCAACAGCACGTTGCAGTGTCGGCATGCCGGTATCGTACAGGTACGCCTAGACTGCATGTGATTTCAGGCTTCATATTTCAACACTTTGTATGAAGTAAGCGTAGTACTTCAAGCATAAAGCATCTTGAATAGTGACACAATTAAGTACCGGTAGTCGGGTACAGAAAACAGTTAGAGTGACTGAGGAGCAAGTAGTAGTGATGTCATAGCAGTACAGCCGTTAAGTAGTAGTGATGTCATAGCAGTACAGCCGGTAAGTAGTAGTGATGTCATACCAGTACAGCCGTTAACTACTAGTGATGTCATAGCAGTACAGCCGGTAAGTAGTAGTGATGTCATAGCCAATATTAAATTTGAAGAAGGGCTGAGGCTTCCTGCAGCTTCATCTGTGAAAAGAATTCGGGTGGACACACCCATTCCCATAGCGCTGCATATCACATCCGAACCAGTTCCGTTATTTTACAACGTTTCGGCACTTGGCCATCATCAGGTAATAACAATGAATACCGTGGAAGCCACACAAGAGCAGTATATACGCAGAGTGTAGCGCCAAAAAAGATGCGAATTATGTCACCTAGTATGACAGAGAGAGAGAAAAAGGCGCAACTAGCACATCACGGAGGAGAAGCAGCAAAAGGTAGCGCGCATTGTGCTCTGTGAATGGCGTTGCACAGAGTGTAGCGCCAAAAAATAAAATGATGCGAGTTATGTCACCTCTATACAGAGAGGGGGGGGGGGAGAGAGAGAAGGTGCAACTGTGCACATCACGGAGAAGAAGAGCGCGCCGTTGTGCTCTACGAAGTGAGGGTACATGCCAAATAATTATGGTGTTAATTCTAGCACAGGATCTAGGAGGGGAGCACGGAGCCCCATGAGTCAATGCACTATGAGGTTAAAACTTCCATGCCAAACTGTTTCCACCAGGGACGCGACGAGGCATCAGGAATAGAATGGTTTTGAGTGACCCGCCTCATATTATAATTATTCAGTGATATTGAAGTAGCAGCAGGGGAAGCTGAGAAAATTCACAACAAATCCCATCCGGTGCTTATGTTCACATGGGGCTTGGCATCACGAATTTCAATCGCCTCGCGCAGTTTTCGACGGGCTCGATCAGGCTCTCTTCCTATTACTTCAACTGCAGAGAATGCACTTTGCCCATAGTTAAGCTTACATCCAGGGTGAGTGGTGCGAAAATGTTGGCCCCATGGCTTGTCGAGTTCCTGGCGTCTTGCCTCACCATTATGTTCTTCCAGGCGAGTTTCCAGAAAGCGGCCAGTCTCACCAACATATTGTTCCGGACATTCTTTGCACTTCAGCTGATATACAACATTCTTCTGCATACATACATCCTGTCCCCCGGATATACACGAGATACATGGCCCCTTTGGGCGACCTCTCTTTTTCGGTTGTAGCGGATTTGCAGCCTTGACACATAGAGGAGGAACGAGGGCGGAGCGACACAATGTGCGCCTCAGGCTACCAGTGTGCTCATATACGACTCTAACCGGAATTTTATACTTTCTGATTGCTTTATTCACTGCTTGATGTACTTTATCTGACTTATATGGAAGCTTTAGAAATGCGCAGCATGGGTTGGCATGGCGACGACGCTTTGGCCTTATGGAGGCAGTGCGTGCCTCTTCAATGATTTTCTCTGGGTAATTGTTCAATCTTAATTGCTCATGAACCATCGCTTCACTTTCTGCACGCATTCTGGTATTCGATGAGAGCCTCTGAGCTCTTAACACCATAATTATTTGGCATGTACCCTCACTTCGTAGAGCACAACGGCGCGCTCTTCTTCTCCGTGATGTGCACAGTTGCACCTTCTCTCTCTCCCCCCCCCCCCCCCTCTCTGTATAGAGGTGACATAACTCGCATCATTTTATTTTTTGGCGCTACACTCTGTGCAACGCCATTCACAGAGCACAATGCGCGCTACCTTTTGCTGCTTCTCCTCCGTGATGTGCTAGTTGCGCCTTTTTCTCTCTCTCTGTCATACTAGGTGACATAATTCGCATCTTTTTTGGCGCTACACTCTGCGTATATACTGCTCTTGTGTGGCTTCCACGGTATTCATTGTTATTACCTGATGATGGCCAAGTGCCGAAACGTTGTAAAATAACGGAACTGGTTCGGATGTGATATGCAGCGCTATGGGAATGGGTGTGTCCACCCGAATTCTTTTCACAATATTAAATTTGCTTGTAATAAACTTAAAAATATTCACAATAAAGTCCCTCTCCATGCTTCCAGGATGGTGGAACGGTCGGAACTTGAAATAGAAACAAACTGTGAACGGGCCTAGCTGAGAAAGAAAAAGAACTTCTTGGTGATGGCTCGGAAAAATGCACATTTGGTATGAGAGTCGACACTGATAAGTCTGGTGGATTGAACAGTGTGATGTCGATAACCACCCATTATAGAACACAGATTGCGCCGAGCTAGGCCACTAGTGAATTTGCCACAAAAAAACCCATCGCTATGTGAATAAAAATAATAATATCAGCGGCATACTTGAAGTAGTGAGGGTAGGTAAGTGTAATTTGTCATGTGACCAGCATTGATGGTGGATATGCTAAAATACATATACATGTAGAGTAGTGATGGTACTAGCATTGAAACTGGAGAATGGGACGGTCAAGGGTGGACTGTGAGGAGACTAGCATTGAAACTGGAGAATGGGACGGTCAAGGGTGGACTGTGAGGAGACTAGCATTGAAACTGGAGAATGGGACGTCAAGGGTGGACTGTGAGGAGACTAGCATTGAAACTGGAGAATGGGACGGTCAAGGGTGGACTGTGAGGAGACTAGCATTGAAACTGGAGAATGGGACGGTCAAGGGTGGACTGTGAGGAGATTAGCATTGAAACTGGAGAATGGGACGGTCAAGGGTGGACTGTGAGGAGACTAGCAACAGCAGTGAGGGTGCACATACGCACATGCACTGCCGACTTAACTTCTTTACTGGCATTTCTTCGGTTTGTCTGGAATCAGAACGTTGGCTGGGGTGGTGCCAAGTAGCACGGAATGGCGCTCGTACGACTTTGATTTACGGAAGCGATTTTTCGTGCCATTTAGAAAATCAAAGATCCCCAGCATGCCAAAGTTCTGGTTGAACCTGCGTAGCAGCAGCCAACATAAACAAAAAACAATATCAGTTTTTTTTCGAGGTACACAAACTCACCGGCAGGCACATGGGGCTAGCATGGAGTCACCAGTGAGACAGTGCTGGTGGGACCTGCCATGCTCAACTGACCAGAGGTCTCGGCATCATCGAATGGCAGACTCACCAAACTGAGGGCATTGCAGTACATTGGATCAGAATCAGACAATACATATAGGAACATTCATGGTAAGAAGAGACAACAACCATGACACTGGTATGCAAGTGAACTGCTGCCGTGCTGGAAACAGGGAGCATTTCTTTTCTGTTGTTGGGGGCAGGGACTGGTGGAGTAATACAGTCGTCACTAAAGAAATCCAGCCAATGCCATGGATACCTGTACAGTGGCATGGTGCCTGTCACAATCGCATTCATGCATTTACAGTCATTAGAGAGTCTACCAGCATAGCACTGAACTAAAACAGTCCGCGGCTCTGCACTCTGCCTGCTGCAGTCGAGTCGAGCACAGCACAGACTGTGCACTGCAGAGCACAGTCCCGACGGCAGAGCATGTGCCATGCACTAGGCTTGTACACTAGCACTAGCAGTGGCAGTGCATGCTACCCATGCACAGTACAGCTACCGGTAGCAGTGGCAGTGCACGCTGCCCATGCACAGTACAGCTACTGGTAGCAGTGGCAGTGCATGCTGCCCATGCACAGTACAGCTACTGGTAGCAGTGGCAGTGCATGCTACCCATGCACAGTACAGCTACTGGTAGCAGTGGCAGTGCATGCTACCCATGCACAGTACAGCTACCGGTAGCAGTGGCAGTGCACGCTGCCCATGCACAGTACAGCTACTGGTAGCAGTGGCAGTGCATGCTACCCATGCACAGTACAGCTACTGGTAGCAGTGGCAGTGCATGCTGCCCATGCACAGTACAGCTACTGGTAGCAGTGGCAGTGCATGCTGCCCATGCACAGTACAGCTACTGGTAGCAGTGGCAGTGCATGCTACCCATGCACTGCCACTGCTACCAGTAGCTAGCATAGCATTGGCCGGATTGTTTGGCGATGACTGTATTCTTCTCCGTGCAAATTTCGAAAAGTTAGCAAGTGGCTTTATACATGCAGTCAGAACAGTGAGGGGGGGGGGGGGGGCTCAAGTCAGATTTTTGCGTTCACCACCTCCCATGTATGTGCAAGGTATTAGTAGAGCTACCAATCAATGCAGAATACACACACTACACTACTAACTTTGCATGATGGTAGTCGTGGTACTCGTTGGACGGCATGAACGGCAGGTGGAAGCCGCAGTGTGCGACGGACACGGAGGCTAGCGAGATGCAGGCCCACAGCAGCAGCAGCATACAGTGAGAGCCGAGCAGGACGGGACCAGCCATTACCGGCAATATGATGTTTGAGAGGCAATGCTCGACCGGGTGACAGTACAGACCAGAGATTCTGATGGGCGCGATCCACTCGTGGTGAAACTTGTGAACGTGTTTTTTCATCGCTGCCTAGCTCCTCAAGAGGCTTCAGCACCTGGACTATCCTTTCTGCTTTCACTCACTGTAATAATGGCTGGCAACCCTGGCCACGTCATTGGTCACAAAGCTCGCTAGCAGTGGTCACTCGCCCCATGTCCGAAATTTCGAGTCCTCTGTCTCATACTCTTGGACGATACATGTACCGAACCAACTGTATAGATCCGATAGAACAACAAGACACGTGCACTATTGCAGGCAACGATTTACATCTGTTGACCATCTAGCCACTTCCAGTTTGACGTTTGAATAGATGTTCAAATAATATCCAACACGCAGTTCAGTTCAGTTGGCTCAGTCCTCCAGTCTGCGGTCATCAACATCATGCCATTCATCGCGATCAACACGCGTTCTCTTGCAACTCGGTCTGGCTTTCTTCAATCTTGACCATTATCACTGCCATACTACAACAGTTTACTCGATTCATATCACTGCAATCATCAGCCAATAATCCAAGGAACCGAAAAAAATCCTATCAGCTATATGTCAGATGATCAACGCTTTCTTCGTGCACGCATGCGCCATGGCAACCATGACCGGAGTCGGAGGCTGGCGGAGAGTCGGAGACCTCACCCGGTAGAAGTCTACCCTCACTCAGTCAGGCCCAACGCCGGCCAAATGCGAAGGCTACTGCCACTTGCCAGTAGTACTGGCTGCACCGACCGCGTTGACGTTGTCATCTCCTTCCGACTATTTTTTAGTATTTTTTACTATTCTCTTAGTGCTGATACTGATACAGTGATAGCGAAGAGCCCAGGCGATCGAGCTGATGCTGAACATTTCAAGCGTGATTTTCGAAGAATTGTTTGCCTCCATGAAATTCGCTCTGTACCTGAGCCACAGCTGATGAACCGCTTGTACTTGAAAGTACGTGTTATTGCTTGAGAAAAGACAACTCTTTGATCCTAAGAAGTTATGCAGTAACTCGATTTCGATCGTGATCAGTCCGCAGTGCGAGTGAACTGTGGTCACGCGGACAGGCAGGAGTGTGAACAATGGCAGACAGGGTGCGCTATAACATAGCCTTCCTACTTTCCAATCTAGATGCATCCGTGATCTTGGAACTCTTGCTGGAGAATGATGTGCTGGACGTTGATGAATATGATACTGCCTCTAGCAAGGAAAACGTGAAGTCTGATCTGACAAAGTACGTGGTGAGGCTGATGCTGAAGAAAACAGAGGAACAGGTCGACACGTTCCTGAGGCTCATTCAGCACAGCCAGCCTCATGTAGCGGAACATGTCGCCAGTACCATGGCAAAGCGACGCGATGCAACTGCCAGTGGGAAAACTGACCATCCGACGAAGCCAATATCAATGTCGGCAGATGATGAGTCGACACTTGGCTCGTGCTCCGGTAAGTGTTCACATTGATTACAGTGGCGTAGGAAGATTGGGGGGGGGGGGGGGCGTTGAACATTCGTGTAACTACATGACATGTACAGTTCTGCTCAATGAAATCCAGTCACAGCATCACTCAAGTACACGCTGGGCGTTGCGCAGCCCTAGACCTGCAAACATTGGGCTGCAAAATGGTGCAAGGCACAAACTTGAGTGACACGACTGGATCTCATTGAGCAACACTGTACTTACTTGTTAGCAGTGAGAAGTGCTTACAGAGATCAATCAGTTCATGCATTCACATCAATCGTATTGAGAGCTGACCCTGGGAATGCAGTGGGTTCAGTTAGATGGACAGTCCTGAGGTTATAACCAGATCTACATGAGCATTGTGTAGATCTACAAGAAATGCAGGTGCCACCAGCGTGAAGCACTGTCATGGGTCACTAGATTATTGCTAAGGAGTTCAGTTCCAGCCTGGGTCAGGTGAAAACTGCAGTCACAACTCGCGTGTACATTTTCAATGGGGCCCGCGTGAGATCTCTTTGGCCTGACTTCGACCCCTCTTCTTTCTGGTCCCGTGGCCAGTACTCCCTTGTCGATGCTATTTTTAGGTAGCTGAGGTCATTGCCTTTCCATTGATGCCATACATGCCATACTTGTACAAAAAAGGTGGAGCTGCGGTTTGCACAGAGCATAGCGAAGTACTGATCTCGACCAGATGCATACTCGGCCCCGGGAGGTACACCCAATTTTTGTATTCAGCAGCCTCGAATTAGTCTAAAACAAGAGCATTCTAGAACATTTAGCCTCGCACTGTATCGCAGTAGAAGGGAAATTATCACAGAAGACAGCCCACAGCGATTTCCCGGTGGTGGACGTAAAAATCGAGTGAATCGCGCGCACACTATAGAAGCTGTGACGGTGAAAGCATGTGAGTTGTGCAAGCAGGCACACCCGACATGCATGCCGTGCAGCACATGCATGCACACGGCATGCATGTGCACATCCTGTATCGCCATACACTTCAGTTCGCACGCGCATCTATGCACCAAATAGTGCAGTGCTTGACGGAAACCACACCGTCCCCATTCATACTTGAAGTACTTTCTGTGACTGCTCAGGCGTTCATTTTCCAAACTTCAATCATAACTTTTACTTTGGTTTAGATAGAGAGAGAGTAAGTTATCGTGTCCGTTCCCGAAGGGAACTCACGACGGCCGCTAACACCCAGGAAACCCTAGCGGCATTGCCTTTGGATTACCTTGGAATTTATGTTTCGAACTTTCGCAGGTTGTTTCTGAAACCTTCCCGGTTCACAAAAAAAGTGTTTCATGCGAAACTCGCGAATTTGATTTTTCGAGTGAAGTTCCTACTTCAGTATTATTGTTTTGCATCGTAGCTGCTAATGAGGGTTGTTTTTCTCAAGTTCTGCAGTTTACTTCGAAATCCCAAATATTGCTTTAGTCGGAGTCAGTTTTTTCTCATTGCTACGCCGCAGCTATAGTGCAGTATTCCAGAGAATACCACTTTCCAGACAAAATGTTCAACTGAGACTTAGTACAGTAGTTGTTGGCGAGCGAAGATTGCAAGGTACTTTGACGGCAGTCATAAATTTGAACATTTCCATGGAAATACTGAGCCCGAGGCTACCAGCCATCATTCAATTACCTCCAAAAGATCTCACTAGTGTTGTGTGTTCTAGTGTTCTCGTCAGTCACTGAACTGATTTTATTGTAAAGAAGACACGAACTTATAGAGTGTGAAGAAGAGTATAGCGAGATAGAGAGCGGTGGAAGGAGAGCCACTGGACAGCTGGATAGTGCATCAATAAGCGCACGAGGGGAAGGCTAGACAGTATGTCTCCAGACATCAATAGGTATTGTACGAAAGGCCAGTCAATAGTACTAAAGAGTGAAGTCAACCACAACACAGACAATAGCTTCAGACAATCATGACAGGCATGATACGGATGATATGACAACAGTGGCTCTCCTTCCACCGCTCTCTATCTCGCTATACCGTAATGTCGCGTGCATTAGCCGGGGCTTATATGCCTATAAGCCGGTGATGGAGTCAGGCTTGTACACAAGACAGGCTTATACACGAGACAGGCTTATATGACAAGCACCACTCAATGACCAGGCTTGTATGCGCAAACTGCTGACTTTTGGACGTCAAAACCAACATTTTCCAATGCCATGGGAAAGGTAAGTTTGAAGCTTGAAGAGTGCTGCATGGCCGTCGAGCGCAGCTGGTGTTGATTTCCGCATCTTCCCACGTTTTCCGCGTGTGCAAGTGTACGGTACCATGCAAACATGAACATGTAAAAGGCGCGCTCACCAGTCTTGCGTAGTAGCCCGGCTTACGCACGCGACACGTGGCGCGTCTCGTGTACTGGCCCGGCTTATGCATGCGACAGGCTTGTACGCGAAAAGCTGTTGCAGATTTCATGCTTCTACACGAGACAGGCTTATGCACAAATCCGGCTTATGCACGCGACATTACGGTACTCTTCTTCACACTCTATAAGTTCGTGTCTTCTTTACAATAAAATCAGTTCAGTGACTGACGAGTTCGAGATCACAACAACTAGGTCAAGATGGTCATCAACACCATTGTGGAAAATCCGTTATCAGTGGAACATGGGAGTTGTTGGCCTTTATCAATGCTGGTTTGGGAGCTTGCACATCATTGTGAACCTGATGAAGACATTGCTGAAACGTTGTAATATTGTGAAATGAGTTGAACTGTTGCAGTGTTCATGGAAGAGAGCGTGTGGGTTCTACTACTTAACTGTTTATGAAACTGCAGGAAGCCTCCCCACTTTTACTTAGTGAAACATGGTGTTGTTATTATTGTAGAGTTCTACAACAATCACTAGAGAGGTTTTGCTGAGCGAACGTTCGCGTAAATTTTCACTTGACGTCACGAGAAGCAACTTCGCACGAACGTTCGCAGCTGCGAACGAGAAAATTGAAGGAAACGCGAATAAAATTTCGCAGTAAATTCCGCTGATCGAGGACCAGTGACTATTGGAGAACCACCCTCATGCAATGTTTGGTGCTTCATCTTTCACAATCAGGCGCGTGCTCGGCGATGGGCACGGGGGGCACGTGCACCCCCCAAAAATTTTCAATCTGGGTAATTGCAATTGTAATGTATGCAAATATGCTCTAAAATTCAAGAAAGGTTGCAAACAAACTGCAGAAAATTGCCGGGGGGGGGCTCCCCTCGGCTCCCGTGCACCCCCCTAGTTGGGGGGCCGAGCACGCCCCTAGTTGGGGGGCCGAGCACGCCCCTGACAATCCAATAGATATACTCTTGGCTTGGTCCTCCAGTGCTAGCTTTCCCATATGGCAGCCTGTGTTGCTTCATCTCCGGAATCATGTCCGATCTCCTGCCCTGGGCGTCCTTTCAGAGTCGGTTATATCAATGATGCCGTTTTTCTTGAATTTCAGGTGTTGATGCGCCGGATTACAGCACAGGCAAACCCGTTTGTCTGTGGGTGTCTGGTCATGGACAACGTAGTCAAAGAGTTCTCGTCGCAGGGTGCTGCCACTTGCAAAAATATATAATCGGATGAAGAAAACGTCTCAAACAAGCGCGAGTACACGCATACTTTCCTGGAGCGAAAATCATGCACAATACACTTCGCGCAAACGTTCGCAGAAATATTTGCAAGCCCAGATGTGAAAATCCATGCAAAGTTTCGCTCTGCACAACGTCTCTACTAGTAGGAGATTAGCCCGGGATTCTTGTTTGAAATCGGGGCGTTATTCTCAAACGTAAACTTATCTGGTGTGCAGGAATGGAAAGAAAGCAAAAACAGGACCAATGAACTCCAATTCTCGCTCCCCATATACTGGCATACACAGAAACACGGACAGCAATAGCGACAACACACAAAGTGAAGGGTAGTTGGTCGCAGCCAGATGTGAACCGGATAACGAGTGAGGTATGGAAGGAAGGACTGAGAACAGAGTGTCTCAGATAGAATAGGCGTGCCAGTGGATAGCAGAAATAGGCCATGATGCAGAACCACTTGGGACCGTCAGATTCATTTTCCTGGACCTAGCCAGCCGGGAAAAAAAACCTCGCGCCGACGGACGCATTTGTGAGGGAAAAAACCGGGTGTATATCCCCAATGGCGATTAGGCATCATGTAAGCATGGCAAGCACATCACGGCAAACAGTGATAAAAAACAATGATAATATGCACAGAAATGAAGGGTGGGAGGGCAGGGACACTGGTGAGACTCAAAACTGACTGAAGAAGTCAGGAAAAGAAGCGACAATAAAGAACACACCAGATGCCATGTTTGCAACTGAAAATATTTCGCGAGAAATCATATCTCGCCTATCTCGCTGCGCTCAGCCGGCGAGAAATACAACGTTACGCTATAATGTCCACTAACACCACCAGTTACTAAACAATCAGCTCCTGCCACTCCTTGTGTTATTTCTTTAACTTAGAACCTTCCAAGTTGGAAGGCTGTTGGAGTGCGCATCCAAGATGTGCTAGAGCTGTTAGCAAGTTGGTGGCAGAACTTCAGTACCGTCGGTCAGTGTCGTGCAGTGTTATCGCATGAGCTGATTGTTTAGTAACTGGTGGTGTTAGTGGACATTATAGCGTAACTTGTGGTTCATTGGTCCTTTTTTCTTTCTTGTAACGTAAACTTATCCCTCTGTCATTGCTGAGTACACAGAACACTACCAGTACTGAGAAATTTTGATTTTATGATCTTTCTATAGGTATTTTAGGGAAACATGTTGGTGATCTATCCCCCCCCCCCCCCCCCCCCTCCATCCGATACATAACATACACGACCAGTGACGCTGGCACGTGTCAACCATGTGGAACATTCGGGGCTGGGAAAATGGAAGTAAGTATTAGTTTGGAAGACCGCATGGCATGAAGAAGTGCAGAAGACGGCCAGCCACTGCTGTACCAGCAGGATGGTTCGTGTCCACACACAACAAAAACTCAATGCACGTGCGTTTGCAGCGCAAGGGAAAGCGAAAGGACCCGACATTCAGGTTGTTGTTCAGCCGGGACAAAACCCCGATGTCAACGCGGACGACTTGGCATTCTTCTAAAGCCCGGAGACAGATGTGTCACTGATGGCGAAGGAAACCAGAAAAGGAGCTCAGAAGTTCTGCAGGCTTTGGAAACGTGCTGGCAGGAGAACCCCGCTGCCAAGATGAAAAACATTAAATTTTGGTTGTGCCGCTATGGCACCTTCCATGGCGTTCTGGAGAGCGGCGGAGAGAAAAACTGCCGACAGCGGCACCGTGCAAATCGTCAAGTTCATAGTTCAAGCAAAGAAGTACGATCAAATATTTTCTCAGCATCTTTTAAAGTTTACGGAGCATGAGCTGTCAGTGTGTCAGCGCTGGAAAGGGAGTCAGCGAGGAAGCAGACTCAATGCAGGGAATGAGTTGTCATCGAATTCAGATGAAGAGAGAAGCTGGACCGCTTCGAAACAAACTGTGTGACATCTATAAACTACTATCTCTCGTATGCGCATTATTTTCCCCTCTGCGAAGTGTGTTGTAGCCATAGAATGCTTTTGACGGAACTGCAAAAACATGCAACAAAGTTTCGCTTAACAAAGGGAGTACATCATACATCCCTTTTGAAAGAGTTTCAAAACTTACACTAGGTTTATTCATACTTTCTGTTGCCTTTGTAGGTATCACCATGACAACAGTTGGCAAACAGAAAGCACAGCCATTGCAGCACACAGTGGGGGATGGTCAGGCAGACCAGCAACGGACGTCCAATAGATGTGAACCAATCTTCAAACAACCAACGTCAGTTGAAACAACCGCCAATGTGACTAGAACAGGTACGACATCCAATACATTGACTACAACACAGGATTCAACAAGATCAACAACTTCAGAGGGAACTGGCGAGGAAGATGAAGAGCTTTCCTCCAGTGGGTATGAACCATCGCGAAAAATGAGAAGATCAGCTTCACCAGCAACCAGTGCAGCTAGCATGGGAACAACATCCAATACAGCATTGACTGCAACACAGGAGTCAACAAGATCAGCAACTTCAAGCCAGTCATCTCTACCGGACGAAGACCGACACTTCACTGGCAGGGATGACATTGTTACAGAGATCAGTCACAACATTCTCACAACAAAGTCCAAGTCATCATCTACACGTGTGCAGAGTCTTGTGGCACCAGCTGGTTTTGGTAAGACGTCCGTAGCCATTGCTGTGGGACATGTATGTCGCAATGCTGGTTGTCGTGTGGAGTTCTTTGACTTACGCGGTGTAGCTGGTGTTGACGCTGTCCAGACAATGATTCAAAACCGACTCGAAACAAACCCAGCTTCATCTGAAACTACTGGCAAGACAACAAAATCAACTGATGACATGGATGATGATAGTAGCAAATACAACATGTTATGTATTCTAGACAACGCCGAGGATGCTATCCATGCTGGTGCTGATAAAGATTTCCAACTACAAGATGTTGTGGAGCAACTTCTGCGACGGCAACACAACGCCCATGTCCTACTGACAAGTCATGTTTACTTCGACCTACACGCTGCCCAGTTTAAACTACAACAACACCGTCTTGATGGTCTGACAAAGGTTTGTGCTGTTGGTCTTCTCCGTGGTCTATGTGTTGAAGGTAGTGTGAGCATTGAAGATGCACAGAGGTTAGTGGATCATTGTGGAAATGTTCCACTTGCTGTACGCATTACAGCTGGTCTTCTACAAGGTGGTCGGTTAACTCCAACCATGTTGTTATCGATATTCCAAGATCTTGGTCTCGATGTGTTTAATGATGATCGTCTGAAACCGAATCATCGGATCCTGAAGCTGCTAACAATAGCGTACAACACATTACAACATGATGACAAGGCATCATTCCATGCTCTCTCTCAACTGCGCTCCTCGTTCTCATCTGATTGCGCTCGTGTGATAGTAGGTTTGGCTGACACTAAGGCCAGTATGGTTCATCTTGTACGTTTTGATCCGCTGATCAAGATTTGTTTCCTGGATTACAATCCGTATCTGGACCGCTACTCACTTCAACCATTCATCGCCGAGTTTGGTCGTTACCAATGCCCTGAAGACAAGCGACGTGTGTACCAACGGCGAATGTGCAAGCATTTCCTTGGCTTTGTGAAAAGCGTTGATGATTGTAGAGGTTGTGGTGCAGACAAAGCAATGTATTGGAGTTACCGATTGCTTCTGGAAAATGTGAATATACAGAAGGCGTTGTCAGTTGTTGATGTTTTGTCTGGTGATGAATTGCTTCCTTTCTCTGGATTAGCAAAGTGGTCGGGTATCCTAGTTCTCTTGTGTGGGAAAGCAGCATTTGATGGAGGGTTTGGGGACAGGATACAAAGATTGGAGAAAGCACCGCTATCCGTTCAAGCTGAGGGCATTTGCAACTCGGTCCTGTACTTTATTCACAGTCCAAGCATTGCAGATTCTGATGTCATTTTTGAGAGTTTGGATTCCAGAACTCAAATGCTCCTTGAGAAATCTGAACAAGAACCGAGAGGAGTGGAGTCACAGCTGCAGCTACGTTTGATGCAACTTTCTCTGGAGTTATGCAGGGTATCCATGTCTCTGGTCATCGACAGCAGAGAAGGACGGGTTGAGCCCAGCCAGGAAACACTATCCCTTCTTCAGGTGGTGTACCAGCGTGTTACAACAACACTGGGAATTGGTCTTGCAACAGGTGTCACTGAATGTGCCCTGAAACTCATTCAACTGTATTACTCCACTCTGCTAAGCAAGGATATTCCCAATGTACAGGTGGTTGAAGACCTTGCTGAGAGAGTGATTCCATCAATCTACCTATCACAGGATGGTGCAGCCTACTCACGTACAGCAGTGCAATCCTTTCTGCAAAAGTGCGTTGTTGTGATCCTGGGCAAGGTTATGTCAAGTTCCTGTAGCAGTGAGTGGATTATTTCACCATCATTGATTACAACACTGGGTATACCACTGTGCAAGTGGAAACATGTACCAACTGCTATCAGGCGCTCGGTCAATGTCCATGACGACCACACTACTGTGTCTGCTTTTCAGTTACAACAGTACTTGTACACCATGGATAATGACACAGTGTCCACACTACTGGACTTGCACTTCAATGAATTGTACACCATCCGATACAGCTCCTTAGTAGTTAATGGACGGGCACACACAACTCCAACTGGTCTCACTCTACCAGCACAGCATCCCTTCAACATTGTGATGGACTATGTCAGGAGATGGTGTAATGGCTCAAATCCAGCAGATCACACAGCAGCGCTGATTAACAACTGTAGCCAGAACAAGATACCTGATGTGGAAGTGATGCAGTGTTGTATTCTGACGGCTAGAGCACTGCTCAATGTGGAGGTAAGCTGGTAGTGCAGTGTACACAGTTCAGGTTACCATAACTGTTTTTCATCCACACTCCACTCTGAATGGAACATTGTATTGCAAACCAGTGTACTCAGTAATTATCTACTGTATAGTGTGTGTCTCTCTAAGGTTGATTTCTTGAAGAACACAGAGGGGAATGTGATAATTTTGAACATTGTAAACTATGGAAGTGGAATGTGTTGCTTTCCCCTATATCAGTCTGATTTGTTATTATTGTGCATGATGTTCTCTGTTTCGAGTGTACAGGCCTTAGTTCAGTGACTTTCTTTTCTACACTTTTCTTTGTTGCGTGCTTTGCTCTAGAATACAATCTTTGCAGTTGGAGCAATATCCAAACTCTTCCCAGCGTTGAAGTCATTGGTTAATGATCTCAGTGCTTACCTGCCAAGCAATTGTGCAACTGGTCTCTCAGTGTCTGGAATTGTGTACTTACCACCACAAGCTGTAGACGATACTATACTACTATACTACTCATTCATTGCTGCCCTGCATCATCAATCCAAGAGAGGCCAAGTGAGCATTGATCACCACATTGCACTACTGGAATGGTGTCCACGTGTAGCAGCATGTTTTGTCTGCTATAACCTGGACAACATCACAGCATGTCCTCGTTGTGGCATGGCTTACCTGTGTGGTAAACATCGTCAAACTGATGAACACCTAAGTGAACACAACCAACACTGTGCTATGCTGGCAGCACTCAGACATCGCACACTGCAGTAAGTTAGAGTGATGGCATCATACAAGAGTGTGTGCACGTGTGCCGTGTGCCGTGTGCTGTACTCGTATGTCAGTAATTTACCAGTACAACAGAACCACCGCTGTGTGCTGTACTCGTATGTCAGTAATTTACCAGTGCAACAGAACCACTGCTGTGTGCTGTACTCGTATGTCAGTAATTTACCAGTACAACAGAACCACTGCTGTGTGCTGTACTCGTATGCCAGTAATTTAACAGTACAACAGAACCACCGCTGTGTGCTGTACTCGTATGTCAGTAATTTACCAGTACAACAGAACCACTGCTGTGTGCTGTACTCGTATGTCAGTAATTTAACAGTACAACAGAACCACTGCTGTGTGCTGTACTCGTATGTCAGTAATTTAACAGTACAACAGAACCACTGCTGTGTGCTGTACTCGTATGTCAGTAATTTAACAGTACAACAGAACCACCGCTGTGTGCTGTACTCGTATGTCAGTAATTTAACAGTACAACAGAACCACTGCTGTGTACTGTACTCGTATGTCAGTAATTTAACAGTACAACAGAACAACTGCTGTGTCTGTGACAGGAGTGGACTTACAGTGTGGTACTTGTACTAGGTCTTTGATTTTGGAAATGTTAAATAAATGGTATGTTCCAACAGTCTCTGTCTCTGTCTCTTTATCTCTCTGTGTTTGTCTCTGTCTCTGTCTCCCTCTTTCTAACTCTCTGTCCCTCTCTCTCTCTCTCTCTCTCTCCCTCTCTCTCTCCCCCCTCTCTCTCTCTCTCTCTCTCTCTCTCTCTCTCTCTCTCTCTCTCTCTCTCTCTCTCTCTCTCTTTCTCTGTCTCCGTCTCTCTCTCTGTCTCTCTCTCCCTCTGTTTCTCTCTCCCTGTCTCTCTCTCCCTCTGTCTCTCTATCTCTCTCTCTCTCTTTCTCAAACATAATTGCCAACGCTCCCATGAACACACACACACACACACACACACACACACACACACACACACACAACATACACACACACACACACACACATACACACATACACACACACACACACTCACAAGCAATTGACACATTTGGTTTGGGGTTGCCTGACTTCTTTTAGAAAAAAGGATGTTAAAAGAATATGCTCAATGCTTTCAGTAATCTCTATAATAGTATGTGATGAAAAAGAAAGTACTTGGCCCGCCCAGTTAAATTTGGCGCTTATCTTCACACTTGTCTCAGGAAAGAAATACGAATATTTGAAGCAAGCCACGATCACGAAGCACTATATACATGATTATTTACATGTCAGCAAGCAACTCAGTGGAAAATTCAAGCAAGTTACACATCCTCCTCGCCACTATCGTCGCTGGAGGAAGAGCTCAAAACGTACGATCCGGACAGCTGCTGCACAGGTCGTTTCATAGCTTGTTCAACTTCTCCTCGTCTAGAATTACGCTCAAAGGCAGTGCGTGCCTGTCACCTTGCCCATCAGAAGCTGAGTTAGACTTCCCGCATGTTGACTGTAAGTGTTATCCCCGTTCGTCGCAATAATGCGTCTTTGTTTTGAGACAAAAAGGCAACGCCATATCAGTGTCCTTTTTTCAAATCGCCTCTTGCGCTTGTCGTACTTGCTGATCGGCACCCGTACCCACGCGAGCCGCTGGTGCTTGTAGATCTACATGCAGCGCAGTGATAGCTTCCGCTTGATGTAGCACCTATGCGTACTGCACCTTCAACGGGGTGCACCAGGCTTTTCGGCTAGTTTCCTGAAAGTCCTTTGCACGAGTGTTTCTCTCAGGACTTGGTGTTTTCTTTGATTAGCTCCTTTGCCCTGTGCTCTGTGAGCTTCAAAGTGTGTCTGCCGGATTGGTCTCACTTACTGGAGATATCGACATGAGCTGCAGTTTCTTCGTCAGCGATTTGCTGGTGATAGCCCCTCGCTAGGCGCTGTACTGTGCAAGCACTGAAATTCATGCTCGCGAAGCGCTTTTTCAGCTTTTCTATACCTCCCCGGGGTAAACAATCCTTGCCATCAGACAGCTGGAAGTAGACAGAAACTGTATTCTCCATCGCTCTGAAATGCGAACATCCTGACCTATTTTACGGACTCGAGCGGAGGTTGCAGTGTTTTCTTGCGCTGACGGAAGTGTTCGTCGGCGGCAGCTCCGTCAAAAAGACTCAAACGAGCCGATCGCAACTTCTGTGATGGTTTGTGCTGCCATGTCGTCGGATGCAATGGTCGATGGTTATGTTCGGATGGTGAATCGGTGGTTTCATGCCGTGTGGCACAGGTAGAACACAAAAAAAACAAGTGAGAAGATAAGCGCCAATTTTAACTTGGCGGACCAAGTAAATTATCGTGTCCGTTACCAAAGGGAACTCACGGCGGGCGGTAACACCCAGGAAACCCTAGTGGCAGATGCAGCGCCTGGCATTGGGGGTGAGGGGATACGTCTCACAACTACTGGCACGAATGCCGAGGAACCCCATTAGCCGCGGCTATGATATGTCCTGAGTGACCGGTTCCAAAGAAGCAAGAGACAATAGCTGTGCCTAATCATCACAACTGATCCTCAGCAACTCACACTGCCCACCGGGGGCAGGCGCACAAATGGCCCACCGTGGGCCAATGACATGAGCGGCCACCGAGGCCAACAGCCAGCCCACTGAGGGCTAAATGATCCTGCCCACCGTGGGCCGCTAGCATACTGCCCGCCAATAGATGACTTGCACAAAGATCCGAGCCGCGAGTGAGACGGGGCAAGTGCACCCAGGCTACACTGCGGGCACCCTACACCGTCTGTAGTGTAGTGTACTTTTTTTGTCAGCGTGAATGAACGGTGCACGGCATGTACAGGTACATGTACATGATCAGGGCTCGTACCGTCGCTGTCTTCAGCAGCTCATGAGTCATGTGCACTTGTAGGGTTAGTGGAAGTACATGACTCACTGTGTATTATGTGAAGAGAAGCCAGGCGTCCAAACCAACCCAAAATACTCTTGCCTTATTCGTCGGTGAAATATTTATAAAAAAATTGTCTTACTAAACAACAGTGAGCATAGAAGCAACCTCGATGCACCCAATAATATGGCATCTGAGAACAGCAAGTGTTGCACGAGGATCCCAAGAACACGTCAAGTTCCATGCTACCCGCCGCCATCAAAAGAACGAAGGATAACTGTGCTAGCCTAGTTCATATTCAATGTAACGGTAACTGTACAGGATATAGGAGCCTGTTGGGAAGGCGTGGGTGAGCTGTAAAATCGTGTACGGTTCGCACAGCACAATATACATGCAGCAGTTATTGCGACGGTTAACGTCGATGTACGAGAGTCATAAAGCACAGTCGATGGGGGTTGACGTTTCTGGGCTTCCTTTCCGAAAGGAAAGTTTTATTTCTTCTAAAAAAAAGCAGAATCATGCTGATTATACCAGTCTGTTATGAAGACAAGAAAGCAGCCATGGACATTGTGCCATACTAAAGGAACGACAGGTAAAAGATGAAGCACTTCATCTGAAAACTCAAGGACTATCCATAAATACAGCAAATGATAATCCTAGCCTGGTAATGTCCAACTCCGTCATGTGAGCCATTCAGTGATTTATCATGTAAGCATAATGTTCGAAATGCTGAAATTTGAACAGATGCAGTTGTGTTCGTCGCCACACAATGCCATCGCCAGTTCACATTCGAAATGTAGCCATTTTTACGTTTGTGTCCCTGTACACGGCATGGAGGGCTGAACAGATTAAACTCTTTCATCGCTTCCTGATATGTACAGTAGTGCGGTTGCGTTCCCGTTCCTGACACTCACATCCGCCTCCGCTAACCAGCATCATGAGCACTCCAATGGTTCCCGCCGCTCCTTCCGTATCGTCCCAGCACGCCCCGTCAAAATGTGAATTACTGTAGGCAACGGAGCCAATGTATGATGAAGGCGAACACACTGTTTGATGATGCTCCAACAAATCCTTTCACCGGAATTTGTAAGAAGAGTAGTGGCTCAACTGTAGGTCCAACGCAGAAGGTACCTCACAGCGCAGTTCTGTTACGTCCACAATAATGAACATACTCAGCAGACTGTGATGTGTATCAGACACACTCTGGCATTATTTGTTCCGCATTCTCCCAGGAGGAGATAAAATGTAGTTCAATCATGTCTTCAGCACATGGGGTGCCGTTGCCTCGTTGCAACTAAACAGGTATGCAAGTTACTTTCCCATGAGACCCAGCCGGAGCCGCATCAATGTCATTACCAGCTAATCATGGAGAGGTATAATGTGACTTTCCACCACTCCCTGATTCAATCATAGTTTGCGAGCCTGCGCCTAACTGCTTTCTCACTAGAGCCAGGCATTGGATACATATGGCTTCAGTAAGGTTTACAATGCTATGTCTCTGGCCTAAGTCCAAGTCTAGACACAGCTGCTCAGAGTCAGGGCTGATGAAGTGTTCATATTGGAACAAGTGAGACTTCAACAGTAGCTAGTACACATCAGGCCTGAGGACTTCGCAGCGTTTCTCCAGCACACTTGTTCTCTCCTTCAACTCAGATACTACTTGAAGTACTACTAAAGGCCATCTGGCTCTCACACTCAGTTCTTCCACCCTTCATTTTCGTGGTTTGGGCTTGAAGCCTTCCACTCGTGACTCGGCAGGTTAATGGCCTCTCCGCAGTCTGTCCTCAGGAGAAGGTCGCTCTGGAGCTAGTGCAGCCGAATCAAAGGGAATCGAGTTCTTTGTCAGACGTCCACAAACTTTCGTTGTGCTTGACTTCGCTTCCAGTGCGGGAAAGTAGTCACACTTCAGGACCACGACGTGCTTGTTGCAGCCTACACCAATGATACTAAAATAATATTCCCTCATTTTTCTGCCTCCCGGCTTGGAAAGGAACGTATGGAATGGGAGCCTCAGTTCCATCTCTCGTCTGCTAGTGCATTCAGGTGCGCAGCAGCGCTTCGGCATGACGATACAAGCCGAATCAAAACAACTCTACTCTCTAGCCAAAAAAACTAGCTCAGCGTTCGTCAGGCAAAAAGCGAAACTTCGAAAGTCACGAACTCAAAAGGTGGGGAAGTCAGAGTCAGAAGGTCTACTTGCCCCGTCTCGAACCCAGACAATCTTTGTGCAAGTCATCTATTGGCCGACGCAGCCAGCAACCTGCTCGCCGAGGGTGCATGAATGGCTGCCGAAGCTAACAACTTCCCCATCAAGTGTTTTAAAAGCATACAGCCCAACCGAGGGCGCACGAATGGCTGCTGAGACCAGCAACCTGCCTACCGAAGGCTAACGCAAACAGCCCAACCGAGGGTGCACGAATGGCCGCCCAGGCCAGAGACCTGCCTACCGAAGGCTGAAGCCTACAGCCCAACCAAGGGCGCACGAAGAAGCACACAGCCCCTACGAGGTGCACGAACGGCCGTTGAGGTCAATCACCTGCCGACCTCCCCCCCCCCCCAGCCCAGGGTTAAAACAAACTTCTGGCAAGGGATAAAGCGTAGTGCCCAACGAGGGCTAGAGCATACTGTCCACCGTGGGCTAGAGCATACTGCCCAACGAGGGCTAGAGCATACTGCCCACCGTGGGTCACTGATGATCATATACCACCTACCGAGGGCTGAGTCGTACTGCCTATTGAGCCAGCAAACAGCCACCGAGGCTGATAACCTACCTGCCAAGGGATAAAGCATACTGCCCAGTGGGGGTGAACGAACGACCAACAAGGCCAAGAGGCCAATTGAGTCATACTTCCAGGATTCCTTTTGAATTTCTCTCTCCTCTCACGGGGAGACTGACATAACCATTTTCGGCATGTGTTAGTGCATGCGTTCGGTCAGGTGTGCGTGTGTTTGTTGTGGGACGTTAAGTCGGAAGAGCCACATTGCTTGTACTCATTGCCACCTACCATTCAGTTTGTTGTAAGAACTGAAATGTCCTATTAATAGTATTGCCTCTCTGAAAGGACTCGACATGTTTTGAGAGTTGTCAATGTGTGTGTGTTTGTGTGTGTGTGTGTGTGTGCGTGCGTGTGTGTGCGCGTGTGTGTGTGTGTGTGCATGTCTGCATGCATGCATGTGTACGTGTGTATGCACCCTCTCTGTTGTACATTCTCCAGGGCGAGGTGAGCTTCTGAGGATCTCTACTGGATAGTGTTTAGCAGTTGAGATTGGTGAACTTGACCAGCACTGGACAGGGATCATTTCAAGCAGCTACTGCAGTAAGAGATACTCCAACAGCACACTACCTGTCATTGATCACAACACTGTGACATCACTTGTATAGACATGATGTATACAGATTGTCTATGACACACACAGTGTTGTGTTACTATGTAGATATAATGATCAACTGAACTACATGTACTGTCTAGTCCAGTCTACTGTGGTATCAGTTTTACTGAATGTGTTCATGTCTACTCTCACCTACTGTTTTTACACTAGTCACTGTACAGAATAGTTACCGCTATGTCAATTAAACCTGGAAAACTCTACTCTACAAATGTTTATACTGCAATGTATATTGCCATAGCAGTGTCAGCCATACCCTGTACATACAAGTTCATGCTACTATCCTTGAGATACACATCATATTTTACTCCAGTATTGAAATCTAGCAGCAATGCTAGCATTCGTTTGGCAAGCAAGAAATGCCCGTTGTCTGCTACCATGCCAAGTCATGAAGCATCGTGAATGTAGCCATATTTCGACCCTAGCACACACACACTGCAGCTCCTTCCACGTTTCCAATTGTGGCCGGCTTTTCAGTAGACCACAGGACCTAACCTACCTGAACATGGCAATGTGTCCCAGGTTCAATGTGTTTGTGTGTACGTGCGTGCGCACGTGCACACATGGTTGTGTGCGTGTGTTTGTGTATATGTGTGTGTGTGGGGGGGGGGGGGGGTGCGCATGGATGTGCATGCACGTGTGTGTGTGTGGGGGGGGGGGGGCTGCGCATGTGTGTGTGTGTGTGTGTGTGTGTGTGTGTGTGTGTGTGTGTGTTATGTGTGTATATACATACTCAGCGGGACAGCATGCCAAACTAGAGAGTGCCCATTCATCCCAAGCTCATGACCGGGATCCTACCTCTGCCACTATTTTGCATTATGTTACTGTTATAGACTGCATTTACATGCCGTCGTTGCATGCTTCTCTCTCGCTGCTTCTTCGTACGACATTATCTCCATTCCCGCATGTCTACGGTATTCTCTCATCATGGCTGCTGGCCCTTACCTGGTTGCTCTGGGCATGCTCGGGCCATTCTCTTGTTTACCTTCGTAATGTTAACTACCAACCATAATTACTCCTCGTGTTGCTTGTGACTGTCGTGTGCCACAAGCAACACAAGCAACACAAGCATGCAGTCACTAAGTGTAATTAGGTTACCGGCATCAGTAATATGCACTGCAGTCTGCAGTGTTGTAATGATCAAATTCATCATGGTTAAGATCTACAATGTACTGTTGTGAACATTGAAATCAGATGGGATGACCGGGCCCGGCGCCCGTACTTCTGTTTGCACGTACACGCACTGTCCATGTACACACACTATAGTTAACGTCCACACTGTAAAAATGGAGCAGCAGTGCTCACGGCTGCAAGGCCAGTGCCCAGTGGCCGCTTGAGTTCTCAACGGATTTCAAAGTCCATGACAGTACATTGAAGTGTAGTTAAATGGAGGTGGCAAACGTCACGGACCATGATCCTGTGGCAATACTGCACCCAGAGATCACTACTGGCCGTGCTCATGGGCAGGCACAAGAGTATGGTAACGCCCGCTGGGGTGGGGGTACCTGAGTCCTCTGAGGCTCTGGATTCGGATGAGCAGATCCTGAGTTTGGATCAAGGGGGGGGGGGGGGGGGGGTGGCAACAGCAAATTGCAGTGCCGGTCTGGGACAGTACAGGCACGTGTTGACTGCATATGATTTCTGGTTTCATATCCTAACACTTTGTATGAAGTCAGCATTCATGCAGTACTTCAAGTATAAAGCATCTTGAATAGTGACGTAATTAAGTACCGGTAATCGGGTACAGAAAACATTAGAGTGACCTGGGAGCAAGTAGTAGTGATGTCATAGCAGTACAGCCGTTAACTACTAGTGATGTCATACCAGTACAGCCGGTAAGTAGTAGTGATGCCATAGCAGTACAGCCGGTAAGTAGTACTGATGTCATAGCCAATATTTTGCTTGTAATAAACTTAAAAATATTCACAATAAAGTCCCTCTCCATGCTTCCAGGATGAGGGAACGGACGGAACTTGAAATAAAAACAAACTGTGAACGGGCCTAGCTGAGAAAGAAAAAGAACTTCTTGGTGATGGCTCGGAAAAATGCACATTAGCTATGAGAGTCGACACTGATAAGTCTGGTGGATTGAACAGTGCGATGTCGTTAACCACCCATTATAGAACACAGATTGGGCCGAGCTGGGCACTAGTGAATTTGGCACAAAAAAAACCATAGCTGTGTGAATAAAAATAATAATATCAGCGGCATACTTGAAGTAGTGAGGGTAGGTAAGTGTAATTTGTCATGTGACCAGCATTGATGGTGGATATGCTAAAATACATATACATGTAGAGTAGTGATGATACTAGCATTGAAACTGGAGAATGGGACGGTCAAGGGTGGACTGTGAGGAGACTAGCATTGAAACTGGAGAATGGGACGGTCAAGGGTGGACTGTGAGGAGACTAGCATTGAAACTGGAGAATGGGACGGTCAAGGGTGGACTGTGAGGAGACTAGCAACAGCAGTGAGGGTGCACACACGCACATGCACTGCCGACTTGACCTTTTTACTGGCATTTCTTCGGTTCATCCGGAATCAAAACGTTGGCTGGGGTGGTGCCAAGGAGCATGGAGTGGCGCTCGTACGACTTTGATTTACGGAAGCGACTGTCCGTGCCATACAGAAAATCAAAGATCCCCAGCATGCCAAAGTTCTGGTTGAACCTGCGTAGCAGCAGCCAACATAAACAAAAAAATAATATCAGTTGTTTATATACGAGGTACACAAAGTCACCGGCAGGCACATGGGGCTAGCATGGAGTAAGCAGTACATGGGGCTAGCATGGAGTCAGCAGTACATGGGGTTAGCATGGAGTCAGCAGTGAGACTGTGCTGGTGGGACCTGCCATGCTCAATTGACCAGAGGTCTCGGCATCATCGAATGACAGACACACCAAACTGAGGTAATTGTAGTGCATTGGATCAGAATCAGACAATACCTATAGGAACATTCATGGTCAGAAGAGACAAAAACCATGACACTGGTATGCAAGTGAACTGCTGGAAACAGGGAGTATTTCTTTTCTGTTGTTGGGGGGGGGGGGCAGGGACTGAGGGAGTAATATTCTTCTCTGTGCACGTGGTTTTTTATACATGCAGCTAGAAGTTTTTTTTTGGGGAGGGGGGGGGGAGTATTTCCTTTTGGGGGTACAGTGGAGGGGGGGGGGGGGGGGGGAGCAGGGTGTTCAAGTCAGATTTTTGCGTTCACCGCCTCCCATGTATGTGCAAGATATTAGTACATCTACCAATCAATGCAGAATGCACACACTACACTACTAACTTTGCATGATGGTAGTCGTGGTACTCGTTGGACGGCATGAACGGCAGGTGGAAGCCGCAGTGTGCGACGGACACGGAGGCCAGCGAGATGCAGGCCCACAGCAGCAGCAGCATACAGTGAGAGCCGAGCAGGACGGGACCAGCCATTACCGGTAATATGTTGGAGAGGAAATGCTCGACCGGTTGACAGTACAGACCAGAGATTCGGATCGGCGCGATCCACTCATGGTAGACCTTGTGGATGTGTTTATACCACAAGGGAATGTGAAGTGCCCTAGAGAAACACAAAGCAAAAGAGGGAGAGAGAGAGAGAGAGAGAGAGAGAGAGAGAGAGAGTGAGAGAGAGAGAGGGAGAGAGAGAGGGAGGAAGGGAGAGAATGTGTGAGAGAAAGAGAGAGAGAGCGGCTTTTCTACTTCAGATTCTATTTCCGTGAGCGGCAATCCAGAAATACTGAAAAAATTATGTGAAATGCCGCCCCCACCAGTTCCTTGCAGGGATAGCATTTTTCTCACAATGTAGCAGACATTATGCGTGGAGTGGTAAGTGCGAACCGGATTTTGCAACCAACACAGGCCATTTTGTAGTCCAGAATCACCATCACTGCATCAGTCACATCCCACGGCCACCCTCCAAACTTTCTCCCGAAAACCTTTCCCACATTCTCCTTCCGTCTTTGTGAAAATACCCTGACTAGGGGTGCGCGGATTATGCTCGCACGAACCCGGTATTATGCTTTCGGGCATTTTCCGCGGAACTTCGAAAGCATTCTCCCAAAACATCGAAAAAATTCTCCAGAATTCCCCCCAAAAAAAGAACCCCAGCACGAACTGTCCCTTGCGCATGCTCTTTAGTTTGCAAAATGGACGGTCAGGCACGTGATCACTGCATGCAGGATCTACACTACATGTACTACATGTACTACATGTACTAGATCTACATGACTGTACACAGCTACTACAGTCAACTTTGCTTATAACGACACTCGGCGGGGCATCAGAAAAGTGTCCTTATTCGCGAAGTGTCGTTATACCCGAAGTCTCATTATATGTGTCACAGTTGGATGGGACTTTGCACCGGGCATGAAAATTATGTCGTTATTCGCGAATTGTCGTTATATCCGCAGTCGTTATTAGCGAAGTTGACTGTATGTAGATCTACATGACTGTACACAGCTAGTATGTAGATCTACTCAGCTGATCAGACTGCATGTACATGTACGTGTGTGTCCATGGATGCGCGCTTGTTCTCTGGCAGGTCAAAATTAATTGACAGAATTCCCCCCAAACTCTTCTGAAAGTCAATGGGTCTGGCGAAAGATCGATAGAATTCCCCTAAAATTCCCAAATTTTTCTCAACGATAGTATTCCCGAATTATTCCGGGAATAATCCGCGCACCCCTAACCCTGACTCAACTACATATACATGAAGCTGTAAAAGTGCCGGGCTTATTTAGACACGGTCACATCACTCACTGTATGAATCAACCGTACGCGCTGGCCTTCTCTGTTCTGGACGAGGCCATTCAGTGGTGATAACATGTCTTCCAGCTTGGCATTTGCCACCTGTCCTTGTTTCCACCATCATCACTCATCGCTGGAACGGTTCTGGATACTGAGCGATGATAAACTCATCAGGCTAGCTGGCCATGATGATGCTGCCTTTGTACGGCTGCCAGGTTAGGTTGGAGATATTGGCCGTTCCCTTCACCAACACCGTCGTTGCCAGTTCAATGTTGTAAGCCTATACTCGTAACGAAC